TTTGCGCTGTACTTTGTTGTAAGATACCTTAAAGCCCACTGTATTGGCTTAAGTTTTGGAGATATTTTTGTTCGTCAGCCTGAGAATGTGCGGGTGTAAAGCAACACATACACAATGTCCTCCGGTTGGATTGATTGAGCATTGAACATTGTCTATTTTGATCCTGCAGTAAAACCCGGGGTCACCAAAGCCAGAAAGCCGGCTGTAATCGTTATTTTATGTATCAAATGATAATGTGGAATGCGAGGTGCTGCACTTGAAGTGACGAACCGACAGAGAATCACCACCTGAATCTGCAGCTGCCGGCAGCTTTACGGAGCTTTACAGTGAGTTTCAGCTGGTTGTCTAGCCCTCCGAATGTTTGGGTTCACTCTCGCAGCAGGCAGCTGAAAAACCTCTAAAACCCCTCTGTACACTATACCTGCTCAGCACCAAACAATAAACAGGCAGCCAAAGAGACAGATATTTCCCTCAAGAGTTGATGAAGACCAAGAAAAAAGGAGCACAAAGAGAACGAATATTACATTCATCAGGTGGACAGAGACACAACTCCACATTAATGCCGTTGCTCCTTAATTGCTGCAACTGTTGAAGCTTAAAGTACCTTCAGTGTACCATTCAATGGTGTTATTAAACTTTTATTGCTGGTTAAATTTGATTTGAGTGAAAAAAAAAGGGTCAGTTTAAAAACTATATTCTCCCCTGATGGTATGTAGTCCTGCAGATAGTCCTGTGAGACGTGTTTCTGAGTCTTCTGCTGCCGTCTTCAATATGGTGAAGGCGAATGGAATTCACAGCATTGAAAAAAGACTTAATAACTCAACAGCAATGTCAGTGTTTCCGCTCTGGATACTCCACAGAGTAGCAGTGTCTACACTGTGAACCGTTTTCATTGGAAGTACTTTCTACATTAGCAATAGTCCCTATGGCAACTGTTGACAAGTGTGTGACACAAATGAGATTCCATTCGCTTCCACTGTATTTGGGAGGAGACATAAGTCTCAAATGTGTGTTTATTTTATTAATTTTTTGGGGGGGGTGAACTGAAACTTTAAGACTAGGAAGTTATGATGCTCTACATGTTAACGTGAGAGCAAGGAAATCATCAGATTGTCTTAACACCAGCCTGAAAAGCTGCGTTGCACCTCTGACCCCACCCATCAGTGTGCTCCGTTGTACCTGTAGCTACACTTGACTGTGATGTCACGGTGAACTGACACACCCTGGAGTACACTGCCACATCGCTGCAAAAATAAGACTTTCCGGAGGTGTTAAGGTACTCTTTAATAGCAACCTCATAATCATAAACATTCATGAAGTTTGATTAATGTCAGTTTTTATTAGTGTCATGGCGGCTTCGTGCAGATCACTTCAAATAAAGTGTGACAGAATATCAGTAATGTCTCAAACAGGTGCGATAGGGTTTAATCATTTGCAAACTGTGATCACCAATATGCAGATTGAAAGAAATACACACCGATACCTACACTAGCGACACACACACACACACACACACACACACACATCATGCACATAAGCTCCATGAGGAAGAAGTGGGCTGTAAGTGTGAGAGCATTCCTGTGTCTTTTTGGCCAGCGCAGTGTGTGTGTTTAATTCCTAATGACACGCAGCCTGAGAGCAGGGGATGCAGGGACACACTCATCCACACTTAACTGCTCACCAACATGTACTGTTTAACAGCTCGGTGGCACACACCTGCACACACACATACTTGCACACACAGCTTCTTCATGCCTGGCTGTATTAGGAATGCAGACAGTGTCACAGGAGCAGGGCAGGGCGCTGAGTGGCTTAATACAACCTAATGTATCCTGGCACATTAGCCCTTTCTTGGATTGAGCATCCTCACTCATCGGGACCCACTTTACCAGGCTACCATTTAACCGACCACACACACACATACTTGCGTCCATTCAAGCATACACACGCACATACAGTGTATGCCCAAAGTACTAATGCTCTGATGGGAGTCATCCATAAATGTATCAGTGCACAATCAATAGGCAAAGCACATTTGAGTCAGATGGAAAACCACAGTTGTACAAATTGAAATGAAAGACAAAAAAACCTCCTCCTCCATCTGCTCTTCCTCCAGCTGGCCTCCTCCTCCTCCTCTTCTGCTCTTTCTTTCCTCCTCCCTTTTTTCTTCTTTCCGTCTTGTTTTACTCTCACTTCGTGCAATCTCATTATCCCTCTCCGTCCCCCTCCTCTCTCTGTCTTTCTCTTTCTTTTGTCCTCTTTCCACACGTATCGCCATTACTCCCCTACCTTTTCTCTCTCTCTCTCTCTCTCTCTGTCTCCCTCCTTCTCTTCTTTCCTCTTAGCTGTTATATTCTCATTCTGTGCATCTCTCCCTCTGTTTCTCTCTCTGCCTTTCCCCTTTAGTTGTTAATCAGAGCTGATTGGGAGCAGAGAGAGCTGAGAGGAGCTCCCTAGTGGATCAATGCCTCTAAATGATCTGTTCAAGGATCTCTTTAGAACCTGCAAAACTCACTCTGATAGGGCACCGAAGCATGAAGGCGCTCATTTCACATCTAACTCACTTCCTGATTTGCCCTCTGGGAGAGAGATAGGACTGCCGTTATAGGGATAATTTGTCCCAAAGCTTAATATCCCGCTAACCAACAGTGCTTAGACCAAAATGTCTTCATTCCAGGCAATCAATTACTGCCAAGGTGAGGGGGGGAAAATGATGAATTTGTTTAAAAAGCTGTCTGTGTTTGTGTGCGCGCCATCTGAGACGTTGAGATTGCCCGACAAACTGGCTTTGTTTATGCTCGTTTGATCGAAGACGTTTTCCTGCTTCTCAAATTTACTGAGCGTCGAGAAAACAAGATTTGATAATGTGCAGTAGCTGAATTTAAAATATGTATTTGAGGGGGTACATCTGAAATTAAATTGATTGTAGCCGTGGTGAGCAGTGATGTTAATGACGAGCACCAGAAGAAGAAGCGTCCGCTACAGACACGTGCACGTGCCCACAAAGAGACAACACTACAATATCCCACTAAAGGATGCTGAACAGCATTCAAAATGTGAGATGGTTTACTGAAGATTGGCTCGATGTGGAACTTGTATTTCAAATGAGTGTGGGTTGGTAAAGATGCAAAAACAAAACGATTATCAAGTCATTCTCTTGGGACATATTATTTATGAAGTGCTAGTAAATAAAACATCTGAAATATCAAATATTTAAAAACTGTATTGTATTTTCTCACAGTAAAGTGCTGATATGAAAGCAAAGTTATTCATGAAACAAAGTTATGTATTTTAAGACAACGGTTAAACAAATACTATTTAGAGTACTGATTCAGCAACAGATGATAAATATTGATTGATCCGTTTCAGCTTCATAACTTTTGCTAATAGATACCATTCATTTAAAGTGAAGCTCTCATATTGTGGATTTTCCAGCGGAGTAATCTAAAACTGTTTTACAAAGATAAATTGTGTGATACTTTTATTTATATTTTTCTTATTGTCAACAAAATGCATGTAGATACCAAAACAACAATGAATTGATTTTTCTCACAAATATTGTCGGTGTAGCCGAAAGGCAGATGTAAAAGTAGCATATTCCTTTGTGCCCTGTTGTCCAAAGATGATTAAAAACGTATCTAAGTCTTCATAACCATAAACCTGGGCACTCACTAAATGCAAATATGGATTCGTTTTTAAAGTTTAGTTTCTTTAGAACAAATGTGAGAGCCGCGGACAAGACCGGGAAGTCGTGAAGTTTGGAGAAACACACCATTTTTTTTTTTTTTTGTGTGTTTCAAGGGAACTTGTTGACAATAACAAAAATATACAATATCGGCGGCTTTATCCTTTAAGAGAGACTGTTTCACTCCAGTGACTTCCAGATTGTAAACAGAAGTTCAGTTGCCATATGAGCAACGTTGGCATCAAAACATAAACATAAATAGAGCCTGTATAATGTAGGGGGGAAAATGCAGCCATATGTTTTTAATGTACTCCGACTGCCTTGCAGAGAGTGTTGAAGCACCATCTTGTACTTCCGTATGCTATCTGGTATTATTTACGAACTCTTTGACTCAGTGCCAGGAGAAGGAATATAGCATGGGCAAATACAGCAAAGTAATCCCCTTTACAATGTGCCTATACACTGATATTTCTTCTTCGGTAACCTCTGGCCTACTTCAGTTCATCACGCCACCTTCAGTGATCCGCATGTGTACGGAACTAAGTGGGCTTTCACCAGCGACTCTATACACTGCTTCGGGCGGTGGGATAATAATGTGTGCTCTCTACCATCGCATGACCCACTTCTCTTGAGAAGGCTCATTCAAGCACTCGGACTGGAAAAAAAGAACATATTCCAAACATGCTAATAACTCCCATGAAGCATTGCTTGGAAAGCTTTATTAGAATAACATTGGTAACTATGCAGGCTTTTGGGGAAACCCGAGGGATTATTATTGATTTTCTTTGGCCTCCTCTTGTTTATTAAATAGTTGCAAACACCCTTCAGGATATTTTTTTGCTACAAACTACCACATGACTCAGGTGGTTTCAAGGCCCCCTCTATCAGAAAGCGTGTGTTGAAGTGTCCTTGAGCAACGCGTGGCACCTCTGAGGGTTGCTGTTCTGTAGCTCACTCGACCTTGGATCTTCCTGTGGAGATGTACGGACAGAAAAATCCCAACAGCGATCATACAATTTCATATAATTACAGTGCACAGCATGAGTGAACTAAGTGGACACTCACCTCAGTTTCCTTTATGCTGTGCAATCATACAGAAACTTAATATAGGTAGTAAATATTCATGGTATTGTAGAAGATTAGGTTTTTTTTCTCAAAATAGATGTCTCACTCTATCTCATTTCTCCTCTGTAAACTATTCCTGAAGCCTCCTCACCCCTGCACGCTGATTCTGTGCGTCTTTTCCGGAGCCTGTTTGTGATTCTTTTTATTCATGAAGAAATTCTAATTTCGTTGTTTCCTTTGTGTCTTGCAGGTTCTGGCACGGGGAGTACCGGGTGGCAGTGAACATTAATGACTATCTGGACATCTACTGTCCTTACTACGAGGGTCCTCCGTCCCACGGGCGCATGGAGCGCTACATCCTGTTCATGGTCAACCACGAGGGCTACACCTCCTGCCAGCACAGGATGCGCGGCTTCAAGCGCTGGGAGTGCAACCGTCCCAGCGGTCCTGACGGACCCCTGCGCTTCTCAGAGAAGTTCCAGCTCTTCACTCCCTTCTCCCTGGGCTTTGAGTTCAGGCCCGGACACGAGTACTACTACATCTGTGGGTTATCAGCAGTGTGTGTTTCTGTGTGTGAGGTTGTGTGTGTGCAGGCAAACAGTATTTGTCCGTTTGTCGTGTGCATGCGAGCGCGCGCGCCTCTGTTTGCGTGTTAGTTGTTCAATATGCATTTGTAAACGATATCTAAATATGCAATCAACAGAAGCTGATTGAGAGAGTTCTCAAACATCGCCCACGATGTCGCACGCACACCCACAGGAGTGCATAAATACACCTTCCATCTCTCACTCGCTCCCCCTACTCTTTCTCTCTCACTCTCTTTATTTCTCGATGTGTCTGTCTGCTTCTGTCGAGATCATAAGTGGTGTGCTCAGCAAAGTGGTAAAAATGTCACCAGGCGTATTTTGTAATCATTTTTATATTAGCTGTATTGATTTTCTCCTCACTCCAACAAGTGATGTATTAGCATCATAGATGGGCATTATCCCCTGAGACTGTTTTCTGAACAGAGTATAAAAAGGTATCATTCCCTCATCAGGCATGGGACAAATAGTAGCTTCACATTACCCTTAAACATTGTTTTCAGCTGCTAGGTGGGCCAGATTGGTAGGAGAGATTTACCGCATCCTGACTGTTTAGTGCAAGACCAGTCGGTAATCACAGAAAAGCACATTAAATTGACTTTCAAAAGCTTTGCTGTCAGTGGCCAAACTTTCTGCAGCTGCACAGACAAGTGCCGCTTTTCTCTGTGCGGAGGCTGCGAGAGCTGCTCGGCTTGTGACAAAACATTTGACTGTTTGAAACCACCGACCAGATGGGAGAATATGTTGAAAGAAGAAGAAGACGGTCATAATTCACACGATCACAAGAGGTCACACGTCAGGAGAATGTATGCACAGGTTGTCGTAACTTTTTGAACAAACAATTTATTCTGTTGTTTGTCTGGCAAGGACGGTCTCGAGCTGCCATGTGTGAAATGACTTTACAAAAAGTAATCCTTTTGTAATTATTCATTTCTCTTGTAACTTGATGACTTTGCTTTATAACCAATTGGCAAAGTTATCTCACTAGATCTCTAAGCTCTCTAAACGTCATACCAAACCTGAACTGTCATTCTATCAGAATTTGTCACGGAGACGAATGATTCTGCAGCAGCATTTCTGCCTCGATGCAGCCCAGCACAGGTCTCTTTATTAGCTCGCTGTGTTGCCGCTGCACAGCTGACCTTAACCTTTTCAGCGGGAGATGATGCATTCTCACCATGACCCATAATGGGATGAGGTTCCTCTGCCATCAGTTTCAGGTCGCCATGCAGCTGCGACATATTTTTTGATTTAGTTTATTGGCCTTGGACAGAGATTCTGACCTTACAGGGATATTCTCATTCACACAACGGGCGGAGCGATCAGCCAAGGCAAAAAAAAAAAACACTCCGTGATAGATATTGGCAGGTTTTAATTCAATGCGTTGTAGCATTACTGTGTTCGGATTGTATTTCTAATGCGGTAACACGATTTTGTGACATAGTGCAATCACTGAGAACCAATGTGCTGCACTACTGAATTAAAAGATAATGAGATTAAAGTAATGTGTTTCCTCCCACACTATTTGTTTTTAGAGTAAGTTTTAATAATGAGCACTAAGTATCTGCAAATATTTCTTTGCCCCAGTCTGTTGTCCACACTGTCACAAAGACACAGCAGGCGAGAGTCAGAGAGCTAAGGCGGCGAAGATAACAGCCACCCGATGTCCTACTGCACTTTTCCCAGTCGGCACACGCACCCTCACACTCACACACACACACACACACACACACACACACGCACACCAATCTCGTAGAGTACACATTCCCCTCAAGGGTCCCAGAAACACAATAGTATAGTCAGCAACTATACAACTATGGAGGGGCCCTGTCCATCCTGACATGAGACTGAAAACAAAAGAGAGTGTGTTTGTGTGTGTGTGTGTGTGTGTGCACATGTATTGTAGGGGGAGGGCTGGATGTGGGGTCAGTTGTCAAGCGATTGTGAGTCCGTGAAAGGCCATGTCCATCATCTTGACTGACAACCACACACGTTTTTGTCTCGCATGGTTTCTCACATGCACATACAAACACACACACACACACAGGTCAGTATTGATGTGAAACGAAGGCATTTTGACATTTTTAACCACCCAGCCCTTCAGATGAGTGTGTGTGTGTGTGTGTGTCTCCTAGCCGTATATACTCCACGAAGTAAAACACATCGATCTTTGATGGTGATCCGTGGCTAGACCTGTGTGAGTGTGCGCCGATGTGTGCACGTTGGTGTGTGTATTTGTCATGTGGTTGACATGTTGACAGGTCCACTCCACCCCTTACTTCTCCCAGCTGCCATCTGATGAGGTTGAGTGATTTTCAATGGGTTTTCAGGAGACGCCAGATTGTGGATGTGCTGGGAAACGGAGGCGCTGGGAGAGCTGATAAGACTTTTGAAAAATGACAAAAGTGAACATTTTTTGGAGGGCACAAAGAAAAGGAATTCTAGCCCTTTCACCCTGATATGTTGCCATTTGTCAGTGAAAACAGTGGGAAACCCGAAACAAAGACACACAACAGGAGAGATAGCTCGATACAAAGCTGGCGGGGGCTTCATAGGGGACCGCGATGCGCTTTCTCTGGGCACTGTAAGGAGGGTAGATGGAGCATTTTGAAGACATTTGAGGCAGTGAAAGTGGGCTACAGGGAAGGCATGAAAGGGTGAAGGGCAAAGAGGGAGGACGGGAGGGAGGAGTTCTGGGCAGAAAATGAGGGAGGAGAGAGGGCATAGGAAGGGTCAGATTTATTTCCTGTGCGCTGTGGATCTTGATGATGGTCCTCTCCAGGGTCACTCTGGGCTCTGGCTATGCAGACATCCTCAAGGGAGAAGGCCAATAGGTCTCCAAGCAAACCTCTGCAAGCACCAGTGTGTGTGCACATTCTTTTGCTCGTATGTGTTTGTGTGTGTGTGTGTGTGTGTGTGTGTGTGTGTGTGTGTGTGTGTGCGAGGGGTCAGAGAGTTGGTCACCATCTGCTTTAAGGTCTTCAGTTCTATTTCACATCAGAGCGAGGTGGGACTAAAAACCCAGATTCAATTTAATTGAGTCTACATTGAAGTTTGAGTCACAGTAACTTTTTAACATTTTTCAAAAAAAATTTGGCATTCAGCCAGTGCAGCACGGTGGCTCAGTGGTTAGCACTGTCACCTCACAGCAAGAAGGACCTGCGTCTGTGGGGAATTTGCATGGATTTCCTTCCCCATTCCAAAGACATTCAAGTCAGGTCGATTGGAGAGCTGGTGTTTCCCTTAGGTGTGAATGTGAGTGCGACTGAATCCCAGTGTGCGGGCTGATCCCTCACAGACTTGTTTACATTGCCTGAAGTGCTCAGTATGTTTACGGGAGCTCATAAGCTTGGGAGCATGGGTTTAAGAGAACTTAAAAGGACATAATATAAGAAAGTCTCCACCGGCTTGAAGCAATAAATGTCATCAGGAAAGCTCTAGGCTGCATTAATGACTACATTAATGTCAAATTATAACAAATGAGAGAAGAAATTCTTTATAATGCCTACCCTTGATTTACCACCTCTGACATTTTTGTTTCAACCTAATTATAGCATGTATGTGTTTTACTTTGCTGAACAAGAAGAAAGGTCTAGAAAAGTCTGCATAATAATGTATGAAAAATTAAACATTAAAGCCCACAGACATACTAGTTTCTGACAAAAGCCATCCACCAGTGAATCAAGTCAGCAGAACAATCATGTCCACTGTATCTGTTATGAACTTAAGTATTGTCAACCCATAAATAGGTACGGTGACTTCAAATAATTGGGGTTAAATTGAGGCTTGGTGAAGGGTCCATGAAACGGCCACGTTCACAGTGTGTCAGTTTGTGGTAATTGGAATAATTTCAAATTAGTTTGAGAAGAGGCGCCTCTAAATTAAAATACTAAAACAGATGAAGGCATTCAGCTGGGTTACCTAAAGGATAAGGCTGGTGTAGCCCTATATTTTCTTATTGTAAGCAAATCCCATGAAAAGACCAAAACCAGTGTGTTAGTCTGTCTCTCAATACTTTTTTTTGACAATACTTTCTGGCTATACTATCTCAGGCCCAAAATCTGATCTATACATTCATTCCTACTGAAAACATACATCTTTGAAAAAAGGTCAAAACTGCCATTGTTACAGTACTGTCTCCAGTCCAGTCCAACCACCACCTGACGATAAGCCTCACAGCACTCTGAGGCAGAACAACATTTAAAATAACTAAATAAATAAAACGTTTATTAAATGATCTCAATTACTTTATGATTTGAAACAGCAGCACAAATTGCTTCATCTCTCAACTAATCTCCTCTTTCAATCTTTTTACAGCGTCTCCTCACCCAAACCATGTGGGGCGAGCATGTCTAAAGCTGAAGGTGTATGTCAGACCTCCAGGTAAGTCACACTTTAACTACACACTCACACACACACTCACACACAGGCAAAGGTCTAGATTGGCTATCAAAGTAAAAATTAGTGGGGAATAAGAGGTCTGATGGAATGCCCCGGCAACACTCTCTGCTCTGATTCACAGACCAGCCAGGCAACACTTTAACACCTTTACTCACACACACATTCACACATACAAGCTCACACAAGTGTGCGCAGGCGCGCATGCACGCAGGCACAAAGTGGCATACGCACTTCACATCAGATCACATCACATCACACTGGGTGTGAGGGAGACCTTCTGTCCTTGTAGAAAGAGAACAGAGCAGGCTGAAAGTGCTCTCTAAAAATGTTACCGAGCCTCCGCATCACTCTACTGGCTGGATTTGTTCATAAGAAACAAGAGAGCAATCTAATAATAACCATCGCATACTCTAGAAGTCTAATCTAATAATAGACACTTCGTATTTCTTAATAAAATTCCCATTACGCCTCAGCCTTGTGGTAAATGATGAAGCGCGACTTGCTCGCCACATAATACCCAGTTTGTTATACAGCATGCAACCTGATAAGATATACTCTTTTGAAAATAGCTCCCTCATAGATCCGCAAAGACAGGATGCAGTGCTCACTAGAGTATGTAGTTCTACCGTAAAGTAACTCCACAGAGTGTCGACATACATAGGGAGCAGGTTACAGCGGCCATTACACTACACTTGCGTTATCTTGAAGATCTACCTGTATGTCTTTTCAAAGGCGGATTCTACCTCATGAGTTTTCCGGCTAAGCCCGACTAAAGAATCAAACCTGGGTAGTAACGCGTCTCCCTAGATAATGACACGGCTTTGAAGATCTTCGTACAAGGATGAGAGTCGGCCTTCGCAGCTTTTCCAGACTGAGATCATTCCATCTATCGCTAAGAGGGGGAAGGAATTTCTCTCCTCCTCCATAATTACTGAAACAACATACGTTCTTTTATTCTGTCATTGCGGCGGCTCCTCGTTGATTTCTGCTTTTTTTGCTGCTCTTAAAGTAATCTGTCTGACATTGCAACTTCCATCTCATCTGTGAAATACTGTCACCAGAGTGAGCTGTGAGCGGTTGCACATATGTGTGAATGTCTGTGTGTGTGTGTCAGCTGCTCCAGATTCTGAGTCTCTGTGATTAAACTGTAATTAGGTTGGTTAAACCCCCTGCAGAGCTCAGTTGCTGTCGTCTTCTCCACCTCCCTCTTTCCTCTCCTCATCCCTCGTCTTCTCCCTGCCTTTCCTTGGCTTTTGAATTGTGAGAGTTTTGTGGTTTGTCGCTCACTTTCCACATTTTTTCCCTGGTGATAATTCCACTTGTCTACCCGTCTTCTTTCCAGAAATCCTCTCCCTCCTTCATCCAGTTTGTTTTAGATTGTCTTGTCTTTGTGTCAGTCTGTGTGTGTCCCTCTCGGTTCAGATGTTTTGTCGTTTCTCTCTTCTTTCCGTTTCAGATGGGTCGGGATATGATTCACCAGAGCCCTTCCTCACTGATGGAGGTCCATGCTGGAGGCCAGGGTCCATGGTCCTGTTTGCTGTTCTGGCCTCACTGCTCCTGGGTCTCTTCTCCTGGCTGTGAACCCTCTCCCCGTCCTGGAGCTCCCACCCAGGGTCGCTGGGCTGGGCTGGCTGTCCCTCTAAATCCACCACCCCTCAGGGAAGCCCTCTGTCTCCGTCCCCCCCCCCCCCCCCCCTTCCCCTTCTCTCCCACCTCCACCTCTATACGACCACCAACCACCCCCACTGCCAGCCCCCTCCATTGCCCAGCATTGGACACTGCTCCCCGGACTGGCTGAGAGGGTTGGGTCTTGAGCTGTCTGGGAAGCTGCGCTTCATCTCTGATGCAGCTGAAAAACACAAGGGAAATGTCTCTGCACTCATATCAGGGGGTCCTTTTGATTTGTCTATTGACTCTTGGCCACTGATGGGGTAGATGTAGCCGAGGCTATGATTAAACTTGTCGTTCCAGTGCAATTCCTATCATCCAATCACGGCAGGATGCATTAAGCGATAGGCCTGGATGCACAAAAATTGGATTTTTCTCACATTGCTATCCCATCGTCAAACCAAGAATTGGAAGTGGCCAAGCTTGCATTGTAATTGGAATTCTATACTACCTGGACCAGTTCCAACTGCAAGGAGAATGAGAGCAAACGTAGAGAAGGAGAGAAGAAAAGTGACCCGGCCGGTGCAGAAAAGGAAAACAATGCGAGCACAGATTTAAATAAATACGACCGTATCGGAAATGTAATGTTATATGTGTTGATATTTTCAGACACGGTGTAGATTCACAGCAATGTGATACAAAAATCCTACAGTTTTGATTTTTGTTTTGTTTTTTTCTATGAGAAGCTAAGATACCACATTCTAATGACAATTATAATCATAGGCTGTTTCAGCGGGAGGGTGGGGTGTGTGTAGGGGGGTGTTCTGGGTGGGTTGGGTGAGGTGTATATTTTCAGGTGGGATGTGTTCTGTCTTATTCGTGTTTCTAAACAAAGCATTTATCACAGCCTGGCCAGCACGGGCGTCTTCGGCACTGTCTAATGTCGACTGGGTCGGGTGACTTTTGGAACCATGACTTTCTCATGTATGAATGTACCACTGGTCACCCACCTCTTTGTCTTTCTGTATTATTATGACTGTGGTCACTTACAGTACCTTCTCTAGGACTGGCAAGGTTGAACGGGTTCGGGGGATTTGGAGGGATGGTGGGTGCCGGGGGCAGGAGGAGAGCGAAGCAAGGATGAATGGAGGACAGGTGACAAAAGGAGGCGACACTCAAGTTGCATGACCACTGTGAAACCTTCAGATCAATCTCGTTTGTAATGATGATATATTTTTTCATGGGGAAAATCAGAAACACCCTGCTACCGCTCTCTTGCTCTCCCTGAGACTTTTTTTTTCAGACATCAAAAGGAAAAAAAAATCCAGCCTCTCTCCTCACACTGTTTCTCCTGTCTGGCTTTCGGTCGTTGATGGATTAGCTTGGGCCGGGAGATAAATGGACCCGCAGGGTGAAACTGACTGGAAATCAGCCCTCAGAGCCCAGGCCAGATCACAATGGACATAAATACTGACTGAAACTGGTCCTGGGTCTGAGAGTTAAACCAATAAGGGAAGCGCATAGACTGTGGCAAATGAGGCGAGGTGTGTGTGTGGGGTAGCATCACAAAAACACACATGCGCATGCACACACACACACACACACACATATACATGCACACGCACACAGTCTTTGATAACGGGACAGGTCCTCTGAGATTTTGGGAGCATTCGTGGACGTGACTATAAAGGGAACAGCGCAAAGAGAGAGGGAGCAGAGGAAGGAGAGAGAGTTTGTGTGTATCATGGGACCGAGTCTTCTTTAATGTTGGGATGTGAACCTAATGAGTAAGCACTGTGAACACACACATACATACACACATGACGACCAGTGTACAGATACACACACACACACACACGTACAGACATATGTAGAAAAGCACATGCAGATCTAGACATTTACAAAAACATGGCATGCACATACACACATGTACAAAGACACACACACACACACACACAAGAAAACACAAACAAGGGGAAGCACTTCCTTCCCTGTTTCATCTTATTTTTGTAGCATTTAAAATCACTGTTTATTACTCCTGTGTGGGATGCAGTGATGGGGTATAGCCTGTGGAAGATTAAAAAAATGTGTTTTCTCTTCTTCTATTCCACTGATGCTGTCCTTCTATCGTTCTTCTCTGGTTTGTGATCCATGGTTGGTAGTGGTAGGATGCCTCCAGGTCTGAGCGTCATGTATGAGTTTGTCTCCTTTTCTGTTTGTGGTGTTTTTTTGTGGGAGCTGACCTCAGTCATTAAAGTCAGTCAGTCAAAAGTAAACACAGAAGTCAGAGCAAGGAGAGAAACACACAAATAAAGATTGTCTTTTTGTCTACTCGGAAAACTAAATGAGTGGAATTTCTTCAGTGGAAATGTGAATTAATTTTCATTTGATGGGTTTTTTTTCCCCCCCAAAGGACAGATGATTGTATTCATGTATTAAACTGCACCTGGGTCTTTATTTTGCCCGGTCTATCTTCCTCTGACGTCAAAGTCTTGGGACGGTGAGCGTTGAGCTCTGCCAGTCAAAGCATGAAATTATTCAGATGAAATCACCCACTCCAATCTTCAGCTGTTTCTCCCTCAGCGATGTGACAGCTAATCTGAACTGCTGACAGCATGGAGACTGAATAGCTTGATAGACTTTCCTCCCTTGTTTCCATCAGATTCACAGCAGTGTGGCCTTCCAGTGATGGGAAGCAACCAAGTGCATTTACTCAAGTACTGTACTTATGTACAATTTTCTTGTACATGTACTTTACTTGAGTGTTTTCATGGTCTGCTACTTTATACTTCTGCACCACGACATATTGTGCTTTCTACTCCAATCCACCATGTTATAGCGATAGTTACTTTCATATTTAAAAAGAAAAACACGTAATCAAAGTCATAATATCACCAAAAAAGAGTTTATGCTTGGCTGAGGTTTCACAGTTGATGTATAGATAATACGCCCTTATCTTATGCAGTAGTTCAATGGCACCTAACTGGAGAAAAGGTGCCTACAGCTGTTTTTGTTGATGCGCCCAACTTCCTAAAATTTGCATAGCAGTAGTTAATGAAAATGTGCATTCATTTGGTGTTGTTTTCTGCCGATTTGGGGAAATTTGGTTATTTAAATGAATGGTTGAGGCCTGAAGTAGTTAGTTATCGAAGATTTCATTAAAAAAAAAACAAAGATTAGAAAAAAAGCCCAAAAAATGTATGCATATTTTTGCAGGAGAACTTTTTTTTTTTTGTATTTTTTATGTCAAAATCATTTAACAACCTCTCAAATTTACTCATGACCCTTTGGAGGGGGCCCGACCCCTAGTTTGGGAAGCACTGGACTGTACATAAAGTGGTTAAAACTAGCTCCACCAGCTTCAACAGTAAAATGCTACTTACACATTGATCACGCATTGTATTAACAACCTATTAATGTGATGTATAATGATAGACCACTCAAAGGCCATTTTCCTACAGAACATGTCCTAGAAAAAGACATGGAACCATTTCATGCTGGTGATGCCTAAAGGATAAATATCAAAAAAAAAAAAAAAAGAATCTGAAATGTTTCCTCTAATCTTTGAGCTCAGCGGGTTTTCTCTAGATCGGACATGAATAGACAGATGGACAATAGACACTTCCTCCCCAGCGGGCTTGTATGGGCCAGTGCTAGCTTGAAACATTTATCAGTCTTGTTTTAAAAGTGTTATTTGAAACTACTGACTGCCTCTTTTGGCAGCGTGGTGCAAAAAGAATATAAAAAAAAGTTGTTTTTAGGGAAAACTGAGGTATATGAATAATAGATGAGCCTTTGCTTGCCGTGTTTGGCCCTCCTGTGCAAAGCGGGCTAATGGCTATCGATGTCTCTAGTTTCCATTAAATTGCCTCATATGAGAGCTCAGTTCAAATGGAGGAAGAGTAGATTCCAGTGAAAAGGAGACAAGGGAATTAAATTATCTCTGAATATAGAAACGCACGCTTGGTCAGCCAATTCTTTGTCCTGACAAGTGTACCAGGTACCAGCGGAATTAGCCTCACGTAAAATTAAGCCCGATCAAGCAAGGCCTCGAAACCTTCCCATGTCTCAATCCTTGTGAGAGGAAAGATGAATGTGTGATACGACTGGAACAGAGCCAGAATTGAACAGATGTGCTCCTTGAAATCATGAGAAACTAGTGATCTGGTCTTTGTCACTGGCACACACACACTTATATATCCCCCTGTATTCCCTTCTCGATCGTATTAATCACTTGGTTATTTCAGCTATTTTCATTGGCTGGCGTACATGTGGGAGAATAATTGGCAAGAATAAATTTGGCCTATATGATGTTGGTTTTGGCAACAACCAAAAAGAAAAGCCAGGAAATACAGATGGCGACCCCTCTCCATTCTTTTCCTCTCTTCATCTCTTCTTCTGTTGATTTCACGCTCTCACAGGCTCACTATAGGCTGCTCTATTCTCCTCTCTCCCCTGTACTATTATCTCCTCGTATTCAACTAACAGGCATGATTTAGGAATTATGGAATTAGGGCAGCGCGCCCATCTCTATTAATGAGGAACGGCATGATGAAAGAGCTTGATCCTGAACGTGCCATCTGTAGTCACTATTACACATTCACTTATTCTATCTCTCCTCTCACTACTTTCTATTCTTTCTCTTCCTTTCATCTTCTCCCTCTCTCACACACACATCCTATGTCAAACACACTCACATTATACCTTAGATGTAATTACAGAGGAAATACTTAGCTCTTCAAGCGCTGTTGGATGTGGCGTTAAATGGTGAAATCACACAGCAGGAAAGTTAACTATGGACCACACACCCATGCATAGTCACACAGTCACAGGAGTCCAGATGGACCATGTGTTATTGCTGAATAATGAATGCTATGTAGACTCTATAAAAGATACATGGGCAGAGAGAGCTGGGCACCATTCATGCACCGTGGGCAGTTCAGTGAGGGCAGTTCCGGAGCGTCCCTTGTGCAAATTTTGAGTTGTTACAAAATGTTCAGCATGTAGGTTTTTGGCATGCATTCTGCTATATGTGACCCAAGAAGGAAACATATTTAGCTGCAGTTAGAGAGGGGGGAAAAACACTTGCCTTTTAGACACCATCAGTTGATATGTTGGGCTGGCAGTCTGCCCAGTGTCTTTGCAGTCACCTTGAACAGGCTTTTGTGGTTTAAACCATAAAACTTGGGAATTACACAGCAGATTCAATGCTAGAGGCTCAGATTTCAGAGCATCTCTCAGAAACACGATGAAAAAGATTCAGCACTCTTGTGTTCATGTAAAATTCCGAGGTGTGGGGGGGGGGGGGGGGGGGGGGGGAGGTCTGGGTGAAGGGTAAATGCTGCACTCATGTGGGGAAAATGAGCAGCGCCTCTTTTTCTCTGGAGTCCTATGACAGGACATCCGCCACCATCATGTGCTGCGTTCAAATGCCCCCAGAAAGCCCCTTCCCCCCTGAGAATTACAGTTTGAAATAAAACTGCTCGAACAGCAGTGAAATATTTCCCTTTATACGCCTCTAAATTTATTTGACAGCAATATAAACTAGTTATTTTGTGGATTACGATTGTAAAAACAAAAAAAAAGCTTTTAAAACAGGAAAGAAAAACAGGAATCTTGATATTTCCGACAGCACATAAAGCACCACCCTACACACTTCAGTCAACCAGACGGTGAAACCACTGAAGGAATCCAAAAGTTACCAAGTTCACATACCGTAAAGAAGGAGGAGTAACGAGCTCGTTTTTTTTTTAAACAAGGAGGGTTAACTGTAAGTATTGACTCCCAGATAAACTTCTCTCTCTCAACATAGTTGTTTGCGTGTGTTTGTGGCGCGAGGTAGTTGACTAGAAAGCGGAACTAGCTAACTAGCTAGTAGCACATTAGCTAGGTTAACGAGTTGGATCCTGTCCTGTTTACGATCCTTACGACACTGCTGCAACCTTTCCGACAATGTAAGACAATTTTAATCTGCTTTTAACAGATTATTCGACACTCTTCGACAGAGTTTCAACTATTTTATTCAGTTTAAAAGTGTTATTTTGGGGGAGTATACAGCCACAACGTTGGTAACTTGGGTGTGGGGCTTTGAAGAAAATATCTATTTCCTTCCTTCGTCACCTGTTGATCAAGTGACCCTCGTTGTATAGTCAGCACTTCACTTTATTCCTCTGCTTTTGAGATAACCAAAGTCAGGTGTGCTGACCTATTTAATTTCCACAACGCAAATGATTAACAACATAACGTATTTTCTCTTACTTCTTAAATTAAAATTGGCGAAAACCTTGTTTTTATTCTCTTTAATCATGCTGTGAAATACATTCATGGTTTAGGGTAAGTCTGTACAGCATGATGTCATCGACCCTCCTTGCTCTTTGTTGTTTTAAGGTCAGCTTAAGTCACCTAGCCCAAAACAATTCAGACTTAACCTAAATAAAACGTGTTGTTATGATTGAGGACACAATGCAGGGTGAATTGTAGAAAATATCGCCTCTTATCTTTCATTATGAAGGAGGATATCAACATAACATGATGGGGATCAAGAGAAGACGTCAGTGTGTGTGTGTGTGTGTGTGTGTGTGTGTGTGTGTGTGTGTGTGTGTGTGTGTGCGCGCGTGCGCTGCAGTCAGAAGTGGAGGAACAGGTTTGGGTAGACTAACAAGAAATGTTTCCCTGTAGCACTTGGGGGGGTTGGTGCTGTGAAGAAACTGCAACATGAATGGGTATATCCTTTTAGGCTGTGAATACATGTAGAGTGGTGTCACAGTCTTGTGTTGTTATCGAGTGTGAGGTGTAAAAAAGAAATATAGGGCTTTCGCTTGTGTGATGATGGGCTCAAATACAAAATAGAATATCGTGTGTGGCTTGGGTGTAACCTTCTAATCACTGTCATGAGGATGAATCAATATCCAGCTAATCTCAGGTCCGTTTTCCTGTCACATATAATCGATCTTTTGGCGTTGACACGTTCATCTGCTTGTGTTGTGGATTGGTCTTTCTAAAGTGTGCGACGTGTGTGTGTGTGTGTGTGTGTGTGAATGAGTCCTCCGTCAGTTGTAAACTCGTAGTATCTTGCCAAGTCCCAATGATCAGTTAGAAAAAGCAGTCAAGCCTGTGTGAACCAAATGCCCTGACTGCCCTCTTTCCAAAAAGAAGAGAAAAATGCAGAGTCAACAACATTAAATCCTCTGTGCTGTCTGCCAAGTAGACTATCCGTGTTCCCTGTCTTTTTTTTATCTCAGGATGGTTGGTTTGCTGCAGGTTTGAAAGGGAATGTGAAGTTCAGGGGTTATTTGAGAAAAAAGAAAATGCCACTTGAACTTTAAAGGAAAAGAGGATAAAGCTGTTTCCTGAATGGTATCTTTTGAAAACAAAAAAAAGATGGAGCTTTGTGTTTTATGGCTAACCAGTGCTGTCCTCCTCTTTAAAGTGCAGAGTTTCTGCATCACAGAAAACAAGCTTACGGCTTGGCTTACGAAGATCTTGATCTTGTGTTACCGTGTGCACCAAAGGCTGTCTGAGGCTGCCGTCACACCTCTCATGTCAGTGCACCCTGTGACGCTGGGCGGCATGAAGGTCACTTGATTCACAAAATAAAAGATATTGTTCGGATTTGTGTCTGCTAAAACGTTCTGCGGAGTAGCCTCGCTCATGTTGTGATCAGAACGTATGTCCAAATGGATTACACAACCCAGTGAAACCACACTGTGTTACTCATGTTCTGCAGCTTCTGCCTGTCTGTGTAGTTGTACCCATGGGAAACCAGTGTTTACAACATGGAAAGTACTGTGGTGGTGACTCTTTGCTAAGTCTCTCATGTCGTCCTGCCTTCCTCTAACACGTGGCGGCCTTTTAATTCTGATCCCCTCCTCTTTTCTATGCTTTGTCTCTACATAAATATTAACTGAAAGCATCGGAAAATGTTGAATTTCACAAGCAGTGGCCCTTAGTGGCCAACCACGATCACCACTTCCTGCTGCTGGTTTACAATAAGAGCCTCTCAGTGACACTTCCTGACATCATGCCCGCCCTGCTGTGCATATTTTGGAAGCTCATGACATCAGAATTTTGTCCTACTGATCTCAGTAAGTCACATAAGATCAGTAGTTTAACTGAATTATCTGTTTCTTTTGAAATGAAGCATTATTTTTTTTTTGTGATCCATTAACTGACACGAAGAACGTCGTCAATGAGGAGTTAAACTTTTATTTATGTATTACACCTAACAGCATTGTATTTGTAAACCTTCTACCGCGCTTTCAGCCCATTGCATAGGTGTCGTGTTTCCACTGTTGGACAATCATTTATTGTGGTTGCATTAATACTTTTTTTTTTTTTTTTTTTTTACATTATAAATTATCCCCAAATCTTATTGTGCAAATTATATGATTATTATTACGGCATGAGGAACCTGCAGATTCAATCATCCGTCTATATTGCTCCTTGTTTAGGCCATAAACGCTAATATTGTCATTTTAGGCCTTTAAAGACCACTTATTTGAAAAGGCCTACACTTTTGACACTGCATATAAAAGAGTAACATGCTTTTTTACACAGGTTTGGTTTATTAATTCAACTTTTATCATTTCATCACACTGTTATTTTTATGACTTTAAGTCAAGTATTGGTTTTGTGGTCACCTTTTGGTTGGTTTTACATACTTTTAATTCTGATTTCACAGCCTCCTCATCTCTGTTCTCTTATTGTGATCAACCATCCTGCTACTAGCCACACTGCAGCTCAACTTTACGCCAACAAGGAGCTGCTGTAGGCTCACAAGAAACGGAGTTTTGCTTCATAATTGAAAACGTTGTTTGTTTCCTTTTATCAGCAGGCCGTCTGTATGTGTTCAGACTCCCAACACTCTTCCGGGGGCATTAAAAGAGCCCGCTTTGTTTAGGTTTTGCATCTTCTTCCTTTTCCATGTGACATGAACACATTGATGTCCTCATGCAGTAGATGTTTGGTCCTTAAATGTGTTTTCCATATTTATGATTTCACTCTGAAAATATATTCCACAGCAGTGAGCACTAAGTAGTTCTTGGCATAATAATGTGCTGCAGCATTAAGTATTCAAACACTGACCCCCGATGTACATTATATGAATTGGAAAGAACCAGAAAAAGTCTTAATTCAGCAGAAGTCTTGGTCGCATTTAAATAACCAAACTTGTAGGATAATTAATTGTATTTGGAATCAATATGATGCTTTATTCCCTCTCACTTCAGTCCCTGGTCTGGAGAGTATTTTGCGTTGTCTTTCATACTAGCCTGCAGTAAAGTAAGGTCTCAGATCTGTTTTAGTCACAGAGCTTCACGATAATTGATGCCCTCTGATGTGACCGAATTTATTTTAAATTTGATTTTCTTCCAGGCCGCAGAATATCGAGCTCGGCGCCAAAGGGGGAACCTCCAAACAGGACAGCAGCAACATGGATGACATGACTGTGGAGCAGATCGCCATTAAGGCCAACCAAGTGACTGACGAGGTACTGAGTAACACACACACACACACACACAGCTCTTCCTCTCATTGTGTTTTTCTCTTTGTTTGAATATGAATCTTCCTTAAAGTAATATTCTGTCCAAAATTTGACAACCTTTGACTGACACCGTTCAACTATGCGACACTGAAAAGGAAGATTTAGGTTCATTATCACTTTCATTCAAGCAACAAACAAAACAAATACACGTATACTAATTATCCCCAAAACTGCAGTTGTTTAAAATTATATGAATGTAAACAAATGCTGCTGGAGCTGAGAATGCAAAGTCTTAAAGCAATACTTTGACATTTTGCTTTCTTGTGAATAGTTGGATGGGAGATTCAATTACACTCATGTCTTTAGGCCAAATAAGGTTATCTTAGCTTAGCATAAAAACTGGAAACTGGGGGAAACAGCTAGCCTGACTCTGTCTAAAGGTCTATGGTCTGTCTCAAAAATCCACCTATCAGCATCTCCTAAAGCTCACTAATTGACACACAGACGTGAGTATGAACTTCTTGTTTGATGTCGAAAGCATGTTCAGTTTCTTCGTGTAATTTGTGTATTCGTATTATTTAAATATTAACCATAGTTGAAAATCATCAGGATTTACCATTATTTTTGGTGAAATAACCATTTTAGCCATAACCATATTGAAGACTGCACATTTTGGTTCAGCTGGAAAAGCATCAGTAGGGCGAAATAATAACACACACACGTACTCCTGGGCTTAAATATACAGTGGGTACGGAAAGTATTCAGACCCCTTTAAATTTTTCACTCTGTTTCATTGCAGCCATTTGCTAAAATCAAAAAAGTTCATTTTATTTCTCATTAATGTACACTCGGCACCCCATCTTGACAGAAAAAAACAGAAATGTAGAAATTTTTGCAAATTTATTAAAAAAGAGAAACTGAAATATCACATGGTCATAAGTATTCAGACCCTTTGCTGTGACACTCACATTTAACTCGCATGCTGTCCATTTCTTCTGATCCTCCTTGAGATGGTTCTACTCCTTCATTGGAGTCCAGCTGTGTTTAATTAAACTGATTGGACTTGATTAGGAAAGGCACACACCTGTCTATAGAAGACCTTACAGCTCACAGTGCATGTCAGAGCAAATGAGAATCATGAGGTCGAAGGAACTGCCCAAGGAGCTCAGAGACAGAATTGTGGCAAGGCACAGATCTGGCCAAGGTTACAAAAGAATTTCTGCAACACTCAAGGTTCCTAAGAGCACAGTGGCCTCCATAATCCTTAAATGGAAGAAGTTTGGGACGACCAGAACTCTTCCTAGACCTGGCCGTCCAGCCAAACTGAGCAATCGTGGAAGAAGAGCCTTGGTGAGAGAGGTAAAGAAGAACCCAAAGATCACTGTGGCTGAGCTCCAGAGATGCAGTAGGGAGATGGGAGAAAGTTCCACAAAGTCAACTATCACTGCAGCCCTCCACCAGTCGGGGCTTTATGGCAGAGTGGCCCGACGGAAGCCTCTCCTCAGTGCAAGACATATGAAAGCCCGCATAGCCCGCACAGACTATGAGAAATAAGATGCTCTGGTCTGATGAGACCAAGATTGAACTTTTTGGCGTTAATTCTAAGCGGTATGTGTGGAGAAAACCAGGCACTGCTCATCACCTGCCCAATACAATCCCAACAGTGAAACATGGTGGTGGCAGCATCATGCTATGGGGGTGTTTTTCAGCTGCAGGGACAGGACGACTGGTTGCAATTGAAGGAAAGATGAATGTGGCCAAGTACAGAGATATCCTGGAAGAAAACCTCTTCCAGAGTGCTCTGGACCTCAGACTGGGCTGAAGGTTCACCTTCCAACAAGACAATGACCCTAAGCACACAGCTAAAATAACAAAGGAGTGGCTTCGGAACAACTCTGTGACCATTCTTGACTGGCCCAGCCAGAGCCCTGACCTAAACCCAATTGAGCATCTCTGGAGAGACCTGAAAATGGCTGTCCACCAACGTTCACCATCCAACCTGACGGAACTGGAGAGGATCTGCAAGGAAGAATGGCAGAGGATCCCCAAATCCAGGTGTGAAAAGGTTGTTGCATCATTCCCAAGAAGACTCATGGCTGTACTAGCTCAAAAGGGTGCTTCTACTCAATACTGAGCAAAGGGTCTGAATACTTATGACCATGTGATATTTCAGTTTTTCTTTTTTAATAAATTTGCAAAAATTTCTACATTTGTTTTTTTCTGTCAAGATGGGGTGCCAAGTGTACATTAATGAGAAATAAAATGAACTTTTTTGATTTTAGCAAATGGCTGCAATGAAGCAAAGAGTTAAAAATTTAAAGGGGTCTGAATACTTTCCGTACCCACTGCACAGTAGCACTGAAAGAGGGGAGGTAATTAGATTCATTGTGTTCACAGTTAATTATTAAGCTAAGCATTAATAGGACGCGTGTGAGGCTTTATGCCTAATTTAGCCGGATGGCTCCCTTTCCCCTCTGTGGCTTTGAGAGTTTGAATGTTGTCAGCTATATCTAAGCGTTTTTATTATCAAGGAGATGATTGGTTCATCAGCACTCTGGGGCACGATATGATCAGCCATCTGATTCGAATGAACCTACTCTAGCTGGGCTTGTAGCTGTGCGCTTCAACTTCCTGTATTGTTGACTGTACCCGTCTCTGTGTGTTTTCTTCTTCTTCTTTCTTGACTTTTTTCTCCATTTGTGCTTTCTGACTTAACTTGCGGTTTTCTCTTTCTCCGTTTCCTCCTTTTTACTGCTGCCTGGTTGACTAAGCAGCTCGTAGAAGGGACGGAGCATGGGAGAGTCCTTCTGCTAATGCTTCCTCACACTTTGGCTTTGGGTAACCGCTCGTACCCGAAACACTCAGAGCATGGCTGTCAATGTATCAGGGCAACGCTGGAATTTGTTATGATAAGGTTTAGGAAGTCTACACACAATCTGTTTCCCATGTCCAGTCGTTAAAATGGCTTCCACGCCCGTCAACATTGTGGCAAAGTTATTAAAATGTTTGTGTGCTACTTCCTCATCATCCTGGTACATTGCAGCCAATTAGTACCTGTAGTGCATTTTATGTTTTGTTTTTCTGTGGATGAATAAGACTTGAATTGTGTGTTTTTATTTATTTTATTTTTTCAAACCTTACATGTAGCTTTGCTGGAGCCTTGCACGTACCTCGCCTAACTGTACTTCCATTTAAGCCATCCCAAAACGAATGATAAAAATACCACGCCACTGTCTGTATCTCAAAGATCTGTCGCAGCACCCCAATCTGGAAAATTTGGCTACGGCAGCGATTTTGGGCTTAATTAGCCAAGTTCAAGGATTTTTAGGAGGCACAACGTAATGTTTATCCACCCAAGTGATGTTCTGGCTAAGCCAACAGGAAACATGGCTGAGCTCAACGCGTCCCTCGCGCCAATTCCATGTTTGTCTGTTTCTCAACTCGCTGATTAATGTATTCAGAGCAAACATAACTGGGAGAGGATGAGGCATCGGCTCCCCGCTCTCTCCTGTTAACAGTTAATTAGGGATGGTAACAATGGAGTCATGCCCTGAGTCACTTCCTTGCTTTGCTCCTTTTGGATGCTCTGCTCTCTGTACAGCTCTCGCTATTAATAGAGACACAAAGGCCTGACTCACCTGAACTGACTGCATTCCAGTTCGTCGTCAAATGTTTTTGTCTCTGTGTGTGTTTTTGTCTGTCTTGCTGTAGATTGTTAACTTTTGTGCCAGCCGTACTCGTGTACAGTTAGAGTTTAGACCCATGAACACTGTAGCTGTGTCCCAAATCCATACAACAGATTCAAAGGAGATGTGTGGTGTGTTCACACGGGAGAAATGGCAAAATGAAGTGTACTAAACGCTGAGTTTTGAGTGTGATGAAACTAAAATGGTAAACTTGAGCATTCAGTTTATTGTAGCATTTGGCATTGAACAGCAGATGATTCTCACAACTGAGAGGCGGGAACTTAAGAATATTTTGCCTTTTTTTTTTTTTTTTTTTTTTTTTTTTTGTTAAAAAATATAGCTTTTAATCAATTGTCAGAATTGACGATTCATTTACCGTCTGTCAGTTAATGGATGAGTTGACTAAAAGTTTGAACTGGAGGAGGGGCTCACAGCCGTCCATTAAATGTCAGGAAATAAAGAAAAATATCTCAAAGCACAGGTTGATTTATTCAAAATGATTGTTTTGTTCAACAAATATCTTAGAAGACTAAAATAACCCAGCAAATATTATAAACAATATATAAACAGAAAAGCATCAACAGTGTGGACAATCAAAATAGAATCTGTGTTTATTTCTCTAATCTTGAACAAATCGTATAAAAATATGTACTTTTAGAAATAACTTATCAAAACTGTTGAAATGATGGTAATGCTCTGGTCACTGAAATCAAATTACTGAATGTTTAATTGGATAATTCACCATCGTGGTCTGATCAAATGAATTCAATTGTGTCCATGATGTGAAAAGGCTTTGTGATATCAAGGAAATGATCTTCATGTGTTCCATCTTCTGCAATAACGGCCTTAAAACTTTGAATTGCACCGAACAAAGCGGCCCGATGAATTCTTAAATAATCTCTCTGCTCATGTGTGTGTGTGTGAGATGCATAAATGATAATCATGGCTGAAATCTAGTATTCTGTTATTAATGCAGTTTTGGAATAAGACTCCACTCGTTCTTTTGTGGAAAACTAGTCGATGCTGTTTTGCGTCGTAGGTGTAATGCACGTTATGTCCACGAACAGACTGTATGATGAGTTTCCTCCACCTGAAATCTACCTGATTGTCTTTATTAATTTTACTCGCCTCCTTTTTATTCACTAACACCTGCTGTTTTTTCCTTCAGTCACTGGAAAGCACACGCAGGATGCTGCAGATGGCAGAGGAGGTGAGACTCTGACAGTTTGTATTGACACAAAAGCATCTTATTTACCAGGTTCATGTTTGTCTATTACTGCACATACCTGGATGAGGATTAGGAATGTTTTATTAATAGCAGTCTTTTAATGCTCTAAATTGAAAAGTTAATGTTCTCCTTTTTACAAGGAAGTATTAGTTAATAATTAAATGTTCATAATTTAAGGTTCTAGTATTTCGAGGAGTAATTTTCACAAGTCATAGTATCATATGGAAAGTTTGTCTGTTTTCTCAACAAAGCCAATATCCTACTAAATTCCGAAATGTATCAAAGCCTGGTGTTTTTCATTCTTTATGAAGCATACATCCGTCTGTAATCTTTCCGTTGGTTCTGAATCTTTGCTACTCTTTTGTTTTGCAGAGCAAACAGACCGGCACCAACACCCTGGTGATGCTGGACGAGCAAGGAGGTGAGGAGACGTACAAAAACAACACTGCTAGTAGTTTTGATGCAGATGTTTGTGTTGCTCTTTGTCTGTGGCAAAGAGTGAATGTTAATGGTTCAGTGCAAAAAGTCACCCATAGTCACCCATTTTTGGGATGGTCGTCATGCTATCGCACTTATTTTGCAAGTTTTTGTATCGGCTAAAATCAACCAGATGACATTGTGCCACAATACAAATTGCATTATTCCAATAACATTTGGATTTCAAAGACGTTAAGACGTATCCGTGTTTTAGTGTGCTTCAGCATTAGCCTGAATGATCATGGAACTAATTTCTGTAACGTGCATCCCAAAATATTGTTGTAGTAAACCAGTGTTTGGTAACTATTTGTCCCAATTTTATTTTCTTGTGTTGTTTATTGGCTGTAACTTTAATGCCTTCCCTGTTTTATGATTGTTCATTTGTAATTATTTGATGTTTTACCTGCATTATGTTATTTTTTGTTATGTTTTTGTTGCTGCAACGACCCAGTTATTGACCCAGTTTAGGATTCCTCACAGTGATCATTGAAGGTGCGACGTGTAATGGCTGGCCACAAGCTCCAAACAGATTGGGGGCAGTTTTTCCTCCACCTCCCAAAAAAACCTCCAAATAGAACTGCTATGGTGTAATGTTTACGAGTGGTGTTGGCTTAAAGCTTGCTCCGCTCAGGTTTAGCAGGAACCATAGTAGCAAGAAGACCCGGTGGGTGGAGGAGGTTCGTTGATTTCAGCTACACACCTGTCAAGCCAACAACTCCTGGTGTATAAACTGATGAAATGTTCCTAGATCTAGAGAAGAAGAATCTCAATTTGTGTGCGTGTGTGTTTCAGAGCAGCTGAGGCGTGTGGACGAGGGCATGGACCAGATCAACCAGGACATGAGACAGGCTGAGAAAAACCTGACTGACCTCTCCAAGTGCTGTGGCCTCTGTGTCTGCCCCTGTGACAGGTACACTGTGAACCACCGAAGCCTCCACATCACTGCTGTGTGTCGTCATGCGTTTCTCTACTCTTTGTGTGCTGTGCGTGTTTGGTAATGTGCAACAGGTATGTGGCTGGTTTGTGAAGGAAATAAATTCACAGTGATGAATAATACCAGTATAAGGAAGGGTTATTAAACAAGTTTGTGTTCATTTGCATATTTTACTTTGATATATTTTATGTTATGTAAAGTGAGAGGGGCTATTCCCGTTGATGTTCTCCATAGACTGTTAGATGACTGACAGTTGGAGCACTTCTACGACTTGGTTAGGCATGAAACTCTTCTGGTTGAATCATCAGAACAATAGTTCACCAACTGTGATACAAATTATCTGATTCTTAGGCCAAAAAATATAGTCAAAGCATCGTGCTGTTGGTTTGAAATTCTCTTAAAAACGCCCTTAACAGCTGTTGAAAGTTAGACTTAAGGTGCTGATACAAACGAAATATGTAATCGGCAGCTTGAGTTAATTCACTTTTGGATTCTGGGTCAATTTTTGAATGAATTCAGCAACTATGATGCGGTGGTTTTGAATTCTCTACCGCTTCAATTTCCACCAGGCCAAACTGAAATTGGTGGCTTTTCCATAAACTTAAAGGATTGTTCCAATACCCAGGAGTCCTGTGTCTGTTAAGTAACGTTGATGATATCATTAATAGAAAACATTGAAATGGGAGTAAACAGCTGTGCAAACAGTTCACCACTTCAACAGGTTATCATCGTGGGATGGAACGCTTCCATGACTGATCGGCGTTGTGTGATTTCACATGAACACACACTGAGTAGGACGAGGAGAGAGTGAAATCTTCTTGTCAAATGTGAATCTTATGGTGAAAAGATTGTTAAACAATTTGTCGCATTCCCAACTGCTTATGGATGAGTAGGGAACGTGACAGTTCTTAACAAGACTGGTGCTGCTCACTGCAGAGCGTACTTTACCTTCTCCATCAAACCAAACTGGTCTGCAGTGTGTGTGTGTGTGTGCGTAGTAAGATCATATCTGGTTCTAAACATGGAAAACAAATCTCCCCAAAATGCTTTCCCTTTGGAGAAGAGGATTCTTTGATGAATACCGTAAGATAAGGTAGGGAATCTTTTGAATTTGCTGTGTCTGTAGTAATAGCCGACTCGTGGCCTTATTAACCTTTTTGTGGATGTTTTTTATTTTGTGGATTTCCTGGTTTGTGTTGACTTTCCGCTTTTCCTCCAGGGTGTCGTCGATCGAGCACGACTCAAAATACAAGCGTACCTGGGGTCTGAGAGGAGCCGACGGAGAAACTGACTCGAACGGCTCAAAAATAGTCTCGAGGCAGCCCTCGGGTGTTCGCAACGGCCAGGCCGGCCAGGTGAACGCCTCGGCGCCCTCCGGCCCCTACATCAAGAGGTACGAGAACATTATCAGAAGCATGTTTTTAATTTATATGTTGCATGTAGTTTTCAATTGACGTAGTGAGACACATCTGACGGAGCCTTGCGTAACATCTACAGGATAACCAACGATGCTCGTGAGGATGAGATGGAGGAGAATCTGGATGCAGTCGGCAGCATCATTGGCAACCTGAAAACGATGGCTCAGGACATGGGCACCGAGATAGACCAGCAGAACAAACACATTGACAGCATCGCTGATAAGGTAGCGGTCTGACGTTATTGACGTTCTAATCGTTTCGGCCTGTTAATGCACATTTTTACTTTCTCTGCTGTGACTTGTATATCGAGGTCGATGGCCAAATCAAAGGGATTCTGTGGAGTTTTTCACCAATTGTAGCTCTATAGAGCAGTGATTTTACAAGCAACGATGCACAAACCTCATGGTTTCAGGCTGTTCCACTGATGGACAGTTGCTGGACAGCAACGCAGAAGGTAGAAGTCTGCTAGTTTTTAATCATGGATTTAAACAATGCAGGATTTAGAATTAGTATTTTAATCGGCTTTGCAAAAGGAGGGAAGAAAAAAATCAACCGAACATAAGAGCCAGCTGCCAACCAAATATAAAATAGTATTATGTTGATTAACAAGTTGCCATTCGCTATTTGTGTACATTTTACGACCGCTCGCCTCCACTTCAAACGATGCGAGCACGATGATGAAGAAATGTGCATTAAAAACATTAAAACATCTAGTAAAATGGTAGAATAACCATCAATGTGGCATGTCTTGATAAACCTTACAGTGAAGGTGTCAATAAATATATAATAATAAACAAAGTTATATGTGAGGAATGGGTTGGTTTCATATATGAGTAGTTATTTACAGACTGTTGTGACAAAATGCACTAGAACCCAAATTCTGACATGGAATGGATGTTCCATTGTTTGAATCCATTTAATGAAGCGTTTGCAAAGCTAATTTAATCTTTCGTTGGCGTCCATCTTTACTAGGCAGCAGTCTTCTTATCCACTCAAAAAAAAAAACCCTGCATATTGGCACTAGAGTTCATGAACTCCACAGGGAACTTCAAATGCGTTTTTCTTCTGCATTTGAAGTCGGTGAATTGCGAGGTGAAGAGTCCATGCGATGCATATTCACCCGTTTTAATTGATTCCTTTTCTTTCTTTCAGGCGGAAATGAACAGGGCTCGTATTGAAGAAGCCAACCAGAGAGCCAACAAGCTCATCAAGTAGACAACGAACCCTTCTTCTGCCAGTTCTATCCATCAACCTTGAGCCTCTGTCGCAACACACACACACACACACACACACACACACACACACTGCATACTTGTGCACATGCATCTTTGACATAAAAAGAAATTCAGTCAGGAAGAATCTCTTTGCCAGCACCGTGCTCGCTTTATACTGCACTAAGATGTAAATATAATACGCAAACATTCTATATTTTACAAATTGGCCGCCATCTTTGACACACGCATTCATAGTCATGCTGGACTTTGAGAAGCAGGAAGGGCATCAGCACCTGCACCAAAGAGGAAGGGACTGACTGCCTGCCTGCCTGTCACTGCTGGTCGATACCAAATATGTATAATATCTCAACATTCAGAGGAAGGGAAGTAGCACAGGTCAGCTGCTTGTCTTTCCTATTGTTTCTTTGTTTAGCCGTTCTCTTAAACGTATGAACTGTGTCTCTCTGTCTGTGCGAGGTCATGGATACATGCCTAGCTGACCTTTAGTTCGCATTAATTAACGTATCCCCTTCTGTCGGTCCCATCTTGATACAGCTACATCGAGTTTAATCATAAAACATTGACTTTGAAACAAATGCATCTTATTCTAATGCTTATTGATTCAGTGTGTAATTAGGTTTATTGTACCATGTGTGTTTTGAGATTATGTGCTTATTTAATAATTCTTTATCAAGCAGAAATGACTTGTGAATAAAGTTGTTCAACACTTTGTTCTCATGTCATTTATGCCGTTTCAGATGTAAAAGCTATTTCATAAGATAAGAAATGTTGTGCTTTGGAGTGAGTCACTGCAAATCCTTTAATGCTACAATTCAAAGCACATAACCCCTGAATGAGAGCAATTCAATATTATTTAAGAAGATGTTCTGACTGAGAAGTCTAGGTTGTTGTAACTATTGCAAGAAAATGGTGAGGTGCTGAACTGGTGTTAGAGATTTAATATATACTAGTAATCACGTGTCCTTCAAATGTGAAGAAGGGTCAGTCGGCACCATGAGGAACATTATCATTAATTAAGCATCGAGTATATTTCATAACGCGGGATATCTGAAACATACCGGTAGATTTCTCATAAATGGATCAATTCCTGTACTTCATACTTAGTGTCTCTGGTGATTTATCAGCCCGTGTTGATGAAACATATTGTAGCTGTTTATATTAATTGCCCATAGTCATTCTTTTAATCTAAATTCATTCTTCTGTCTTCGTCATCTCCGGGTTAATAGAGATTTATGGCACCCAGGAGGAGATTTAACAGCCTATGCAGGGTTCCTAGTAAGTCTGGTAATATGTGGAAAATTGAATTTCCTCAAGTTTGATAATTGCAGTCTTTAAAAGTATGAAAACAAATGTTCAGTTGTGAAACACATTGTTTAATCCGCTATCGTTTCTCATGCACACTAGGTCGTTGTCATTATGGCATATGCGGCAGTTTTGTCATAATGAAAACTTAAAAGGTTACAAATTTAAGAAATAAGTCTGGAAAAAATATAATTTAGAAATGTGAGGCTGCAGGAACCCTGTCGATGCCTCCCGGATGATTCATGGTTTTGTTGTAACAGCCGTTTGTATCGCAAACTGCTGTGAAATCTGGCTACAAGAGGAGCAGAGCTGCAGTAAAATGATAATATCTAGTGATGGAAAGCATCATTTGTTGTTGCCGAAGCCGTAGCCAGGTGGAGAAATGACTGCTGGCAGCGAGATGCTACAGTATACGCGTAAATGAATGTCAAAGAGGCAAATGTTGACGCGGAATATGTCCTGGCAGCCTCTGTTTAGGCCTCACTGTGCAAATTTGGCATATAATAAAGTAATACAGAATGCTGGAAATATCTCTTGTATGCTTATTTGTTTTGAAGAAAAGTGATGATTTGTATGCTCCGCTGCAGTCGTACACCTATTGAGTTTGTAAAGATTGAAATGATGTTATTCAGGGCTTTGTATTGCTGCAAGTGATCATCCTCCGCCTGTTACTTGTCAGCTGAGATGTAATTAGTCGAGCCCGAGGCCGACTCGCTGTCTTCAGGCCGTTTATTCATTGTTTCACAAACAGCCACTGGAATGTAAATCCAACCTTTTTGTTGATTTTCACGATGTTCATATGCAGCTCGTATCATCTGAAATTAGCTCGGTTAGCAGTTGACTGTTTAACAAAGTGCCTGTTGTTTAACACCTGCCTCTGTTAAGTTGTTTTTATTCAATAAATCTATTCTGAAATGAACATTCTTGGACATTTTCAATGCATTAACAATTAGAATGAAATCAGTATTCATTAAACATCTGCAAAGGTACAACTGTGGACATGAGTTTGACATTAAGGAAAGAGATTCAAATGACAATAAATAAACCCAAACTGTATAGATTCAGAAGTTTATTTTAAAGTTTATTCTCTCAAAATGTATTTGATATTTCATCATATAACATCATTCTTTTGGATATTTTACATAGCTAGAGAGTACAAAAGGCAGATTAAAAACCACTGAACAGGAAAAGCAGGAAGAAGTGGAGGAATAAACAAAGTGGAGGTGACAGAGTAGGAAGTGTTGGAATCTGAATTCCTGTAGATAGTGACCAATAAAAACAAGACTGAATAAAGGTTTCCCCAAACCATTTAAAGGTGCTTTTATAACAGATGTGATTACTGGTACTGGAAGCTGAAAAACATCTGTATTTGTTAAGATGGCCACAAGAAGGTTATAGATGTAACATTATTTTTCCTTTTCTATATGTAAATAATCTAGACAGATCATCATGATGCTACCATATTTCCTCTTGAGCTGAACAGTCTCCATCTTTCTACGCCTAACTTCCATCATTCCTATGAGGTCACTTGAGTTGGATCGTGGTTCGGGGACGGAGCCCACAGTACAAGGCAAGACGGCAGTGGGTGAGTGAATGTGATAAGTTAACGTCGATAAATGCAGCTCCACGTACTCTATACTCCCCGTGTATCGACTCAAACTGTCTTATTCTATAATGGCTTTATTGTGGAAAAGTACCAGATTCTCACTTCCTCCTTTACATTCATATTAAAGACACATTCCCTCAGCTCCATACTGCTACTGAATGATCCTCGCCTTAGATGAAGAGCATGCCTGGTCCTGCTGTGTGGTTTGATTCAGCCGACCCACGGATTGTCCTTGACTTTGGCCGTTTACGTAAATCTGGTTGAATAATGGTCCAGGCTGGTTTTCTGCTTTTACAAGAACGCCTGGTTTAATTTCTAGTTGGCTCTAATTTAACACTCTGCTTTTGTGGCACATAAAATGTAGTGTTTGATATCCAAGGGGTGTTTCATAAAGCAAGATTACCAGTTAAATAAAGCAATTCTCACCTAGGGGACCATGGAAACGTTACCTTCCAGACTAGCCTGGTGTTTGTCAGGTTAGTTTAGCTTCACCTCAGGCTGAACCCAGTGTTTTGTACGCTAGTACTTGTTAAATTTAACACATTTTGCTCTTTTTACATACTTAAAATTTGAACTCTTATATTCTTCAGTCACAATTCCAGCTAACACGTGTTCATTTAAATGCACTGCAACTAGTATGAAGGCTAAGAAACAACTTTGACCCATGACTGTACTCGTGGTTTGCAGCTTCTTCACCATCTGTTTCCTCTTTAAATGTCACTTAAATAACTTTTGAGGCCGGCAGCCAATCCGACGGCATTTCACCAGATGGAGGCTGTTATTTAACTCGTCCAAACCAAGTAGCATTATCCAACTATTGCCATAAGTAACCTGGCTGGAGTCTTATTGCGTGCATCTTTATACGTCAACTTTCCTCTTTACGTTAATGTGTTGCACTTATTATACAAAGAAAGTTCACATTACTGTCCGAGTCCGGCAGTGGTTTTGTTAATTTTTTAAATAATATTTTACTCTCCATATTATGTAGAATATGTGGCGCTCTGTGGCAGCAAACATCGCAGATGAACAAAGAATGTCGTCAGTGCTTCGTGTCTCGGGTCTGTGTTTCAAAGTAAAACACACTTGACTTTAGGAAACCGATTAATCCTGGTCCAGTTCATTTCAAGTCAGGCTTTCCACAATAAGAGCTGTTTTTATTAAGAAACACCCCCCAGATATCTGCTAACACAATACAAGTTCTAATGCGTGTCCCTACAAGCCAAAGTTGAAGACAAATAAGGCGGGTCAAGTGTGGTCTTGACTGAGGGTTCAAGAATATCACAATAGCACCATATCAAACCAACGTAAAACATACTTCATGCAGCTGTAGATATATATACTGTTTGTGTATATATGTTAATGAATAGATATGAAATGGAGGGTTCAATACACAAGTGTTGAATATATTTAAAGTTCACAGAAATAACTACCGCCACAGTTCAGTTGAGAATACGACCGTACTCACAATAATACGATCAATAATCACAACTTGTGTCTCGTGACCGATCATATTTCATCGGTGACCATTTTAAAATCTCAACAGTCGAACCCTTCACAGTGCATAGAGCATTTAGTTTGCATGCCTGCAATTACACTTGTGTGTGTGTGTGTGTGTGCGCGCACTGTACTACGGTTTAGCTCTTCACCAAGTCTTTACTCTGCATTTACAAAGCTTTTTAAAGTCTGTTAAACTCACTCTGGTTCTGTAAGTAGCATTGAGCGCTCCAAATTCAACCAGCACAGTATTACAGTTCACAACCATTGTATAAGGCAGATTAATAAAAGTACTCCTTCGTACTCTTGGGTCACCCCGTGTTCATTACAGGCCTTCATATTGTACATGGCTATATCAGAGCATGCCATACGAAAGCAAATAAAACGCAGCTAAAGAAAAAGTTTTACAAACATTCTTTGGTTGAGTGTGAAAGGAGCATTCCTGTGCTTTTAATTGAATTGCTTTGAATTTGGCATTTGTTAAAAACAACACAAAGAAGAAGAAAAAGTGGACCTTTGCAATGAAACACTGGCTTAAATACAGGCAAACGAGTGATGGCTTTAGCCTAAACTACAAGAAATGTGTTTACTCTTGTAAAATAATATAAAAAATCGAGTGATTAAGAAGCTGTCTTTGACTGATTGTACACCAATACTACGTTCTCTTTCCAGGTTGCCAAGGCAACCCCCTCCCCTTTTGATGGCCTTTCCATCTCTTTTTACTTCTTTTTGGCAAAGCGTCTGAACTTCTTTTCCTTGTCTTTCTTGGCAGAACTGGGCTCCGGGAGTGCAGTTGAGGAGGAGGGAGGAGGTGGAGGAGGCAGGCTGTGGGCTCTGGCCCCTGAGGGCCCCGACGCCTCCTCCACTGCCAGGGGTTGAACGGCCTTCTCCATGGCCTGGCTCCAACGCTGGAGCTCCTCCTGAAATTAAAACACACACACACACACCACGGAGGCTTACAAAGGGAAGTCCACCTCCAGAGCAGTGTGTGTTTTTGGCTCTTGCTCTATTTGAGTGAATTATAAAGTGTGATGTGGTTCAAACATTTAGCAATGAAACTTTAAATAAGGTGTGAATGAGAGGAGTATTGATGATAACGACCTTATCGTGAATCATCTCATCTTAAACGTAATAGTCTCACTAACTGATGGAGAAACAGAGGAACCTCATTAATGTCAGCTACTTACATACATAATCCGTTCCAAATGACTGAGACATAATGTAGCCATGTCAATCTGAAACAGCTTTTAAAATATAATATTCATATGTATGTACTGCAACACCCTGTGACTACTGCTTTACAGTACATAAGGTCAAAGATTATATAAATACAAAGTCCAGAACATTCAGTCTCGTGTGATTTGTGGAAAGCTTTTTTTGTTTATCTCTCGATGGTAAGAAGCTCACCTCGTCTTTACACTGGAACACATATTCACTGCCGTCTCCAAGACTGAGAGAGGGAAAGGAAAGTGAAGTTAGGACTTATTGTGTGGAGGAGTGCAAACAGAAAAAAGAGTAGAAGACAGAAGTGGGCGAGCTTAGCTCAGCCTGTAGACTGGAAACAGGGAAATGGCTATTCTGTCTCTGAACAAAGGTAAGAAATATCATTAATAAATGCTATATCTCATCTGTATATAAAAACCATAAAATACCAGCTTGTGGTTTTACAGAGGGTTATGTGTAGGACTATTTCTTGGCCCATAATCCCCCATAAAACCACACTTGATCTTCTCATCTTATTCTTGGCAAGAAAGTGAATAAGCATATTTCCCGAAATGTTGAACTATTCCTTTAATTAGCGAGACAACTGTGAAAACCCTGAAGATGGATCAGAATGCTCACCGTAGTTTGGAGACGTGCTTCTTTTTCTTGTAGTTGGTGAGGATCTCCCAGGTGGCGTTACTGAGGGACAAAGGGTCCTCGCCGTGATACGTCACCCCGTGGCCAAAGCTCTTGGCATCCTTGTAAGCCGACAGCTGACCGGGCTTCAGCACACAGTACAAGTTGTTCCAGGACCTGAGAGGAAGAGGAAGGGTAAGAAACGAAGGGCTTTCATATTGATCGCTTCAGGAGGCTAATTTCCGGCGATAATGAAAAAAATAAATCGAATTGAATTCCAATTAAGAGAGCCACAACATCATCACCACTCCATTAAGACTTAATTTAGTTAATTAGTAATGAGCTCACTACTCTGTAACAACTGTAAATAGCTGAACCCAGCCAGAGCCTCTGTAAGACAGCAGTCGGGTTAAACAAAACTTTTTGGGTAGCTTGTGCATCAACACATTTACTTGAGTAGCTGGAATTTTTATATTAAAACACAGATGCATAATCATATTAAAATCAGGTTGCTAAAAAGAAGGCAAGACATCATAATCTACACATTGTGAAGTGAAGGAGTTTTTTAAAACTTTTTTCACTTTGCCAGCTGTGAATGTACAGTATATACATATATGTATGTCTACGTTTTTCATTAGCTCCTTGTTGAACTGTGCGTGTCTGTGTTTTACTTCAAGTTCTCTAGTGTACAGTTGAGCGTATGTTAAATATAACTTAAGTTTGTGCTGCTATATTGTGAGTTATTTTTAAGACTTAAAGCTGGCGAACATGTAGCTCGTGCAAAAATCTTTTATTTTCCTTTACTTCCTGTTTTACTTTTTTTTTTTCTTCCCACACCACACCTGCCATCTAAAAAGGGACAGTACAACACTATGTGTGTGTGTGTGTGTGTGTGTGTGTGTGTGTGTGTGTGAGCTTCAGCGTCTTAAACACAAATCACATTATAGATCTTCTTCAGTATAATATTGCTCTACAGTTGTAGATTTCTCGCTGTTTTTTTAACTAACATTCAAGGCAGCCGTTGGTTTCCTGTCATTTCTTTACAATATGAACATGAGTGAGAAAACTCTTGAAACTTGATTTGAGTGTAATATGTGATGTAATTTAAATAATAATCAAAAAGATGAATGCAGACTAGATGTTTACTGTGATGGATAACATATATATGGTAAGTTTTCAAGTGTGCTCATAGATTTTTCTATTCTACAGAACTGGATGTCTGGAACGGTCAGTGATGGATGATCTATCTTCTACCTATTTGAAGCCTTCTTTCCTGAACCTTCCACATCATGTTTGCGGCCAAGCATGCCCTCCTGCAGCACAGTCTGGGCTCCGAGGGTCTCGATGGGCATGGTGGCAGCCCTCTCTGGTTCTTTCGGGGCCACCGCTGACACAAGGGGTTCCAGCTCCAGAGAACCACTCTCTCTCATCTCGGACACTATGGCCACTGTGGAGTCACCGGCTGTCTCCTCCAGCAGACCTGAACTGGCCTCGACTGCTCCAGAACCAGACTGGAAGAGAAAAGAAGAGAGACAGAAATAGAATGAGACAATAGATCATTGATGAATCAACCTGCACGTTGATTGGATTGGAGAGCAGAGTGTACCGCTGATGTTTAAATCCATGACTATATTTAGAAGCGCTTAAAGAGGTTCTCAACAGAGTCAAATGTAGTTTGCTTTAGAGGAAGTAAAGGAGCTCTTTTAAATGCAGGAGTTAGTAAGAAAATAGCATAGAGAGCTTGATTTTCTTTTCTTTTTAAAAAAAAACTCCAGCATGCTTAAACAGAGTTACTTACCAGTGTCTGTTCCTCAATAGTGCAGAGCTGCGAAGATTCTTCTACAAAACCTGTGTCTTCTCTCCTGGAGGAAAGAGGACAGCATGGGGTCTGCATGAGACACTTTTAAGAGCAGCGGGTGAAGAACAATGTTTATTGTTGAGAGGGAGAGACTGTGTGCCTGGAAGCAAGTTTAAAGGATAAGGTTCTTTGTCTTTGTCTGAACAGTGTATAGTGTGTATATGTATGCATGTATGTATATATATATATATATATGGGATGCTAAATAAAGAACTCAATGAAATGAAATGTTATGGAAAAGACATAGTATAGCATGTCGAAAAAGTCATTAAAAAGTCACAGTTCGAAAAAAGACATAGTATATCAAAAAAAGACAAGTATGTCCAAAAAAGTCATAGTATATCAAAAAAAGTCATAGTATAGTATGTCCAAACATTTTATGAAATAGTCAGGGTATAGTATGTCGAAAATTGTTATTTAACAGTCATAGTATATTATGTCCCAAAATGTTATAAAAAGCCCTAATATAGTCAGTCAAAAATTGTCATAGTAGAGTATGTTGCAAAAATATATAAAACGTCATAGTATATATGTCGCAAAAATCGATAAAAAGCCATAGTATAGAATGTTGAAAAAAGTAAGACAAACATAAGAAAAACGCCATAAGAAAGTCAGTCTAGTATGTAGCAAAAAGTCAGAAAACCCATAGTATAGCATGAAAAAGTCAAAGTTTAGTATGTTGAAAAATTAGATGGAAGAGTTTTTTTTTGTGTGCACCTTTCATGTGTGGCCGTCAATCATATATGGCTCTGTTCATTGGCACTCGGTGATCAAAACGTTGAGAAACCCTGATGTATGCCTGCATGTATGTGGGAGTGTGTGTACCTGCTGTCCTTATCTGAGCATTGCTCTTCTTTAAGGAACTGCTCAATCTCCTGCTGCTGATTCCTCAGCTCCAACAGCTCCAGCTGCAACACAGTAAAACTGCAATCAATAACCGACACGTGCAACTGCGAGTTGTGGCGTAAGCCTGCAGGGAAGTTGATGATGCTTTTGTCCAAACCGTAGTGAGGCGCTCCAGTGCAGAGAAGCGCTCCTCCCAAGTGGCGGTGGATTTCTCAAAGGCCTCGTGCCTCTTGAGGAGTTTCTCGACCTCGTCCACCGTGTGGCCCAGGTCTCTACTGGACACGTAGGGCTCCTGAGCGATCAGCCAGGCCTCCGCCACAGAGGCGTCCCGGGAAAACTGACACACCTCCAGCACTTGGAAGCAACAAAGACAATGGGTCATCACGACTAGAACCCTTTTTCTTCAGGAATAGTTATGCTACAGTAAAATTTATAACATTTTGTGGAAAGTGAGGACATGTTTTGTAAAGGGAAGACATCTTTATAAAGTTAAGACATTTTTGGGAAAGTGAGAACATTTAAAAAAGGGAGTCATTTTTTAAAAAAGTTTTTAGAAACTGAGGTCATTTTGGAGAACGTTGTTCTACAACGTGGAGAACATTGTAGAAAGTCAGGACATTTTCTGAAATATTACGATCGGCTTTCAATGTGGTTGTCCATCTCGTAAAAAGCAGCATTTTCTCTAGACTTAAATCTGTACAGGCAAAATATAATGGTTTATAAAACAGAATGTTAAACTTGAAAATAAAATTCTAGTTTAGTTGAAGGAATCACCCAATGTTTGAGAAAACACAATTTTTAACTGTGCAGAAACACGATAATAGACTTTGTTCTTGTCTCAGACTGCAACAAAAGGTGCTTATTGGAGTCTCTTGGTGCTCTTTCATGTGCAAAGGTCAGTAAATTTATGGGCTTCCACATTAGTTAGTCATTTAGCAGTTTAGTATAGATTTGTGAAAGGAATATACATGTAGAGGTTTTGCCTTTAGGTTGGAGGTTAGTGTGGTTTTACTCACAGAGTCTGAGCCAGTCCCATCTGTCGTCCCACTTGAACATCATCTCCTTCCTTTTCTCCATCAGCTGTACCAGCTTCTCTTTGATCTGACACAAGCAGTTATACAGTCGCAGTTACATACCAGCATTATTAAACAACTCAGCCCCAAGAGTGGTTATTATCCTCCAAGAATTTGTATTGTGGAGCAATTAACCGCACATTAAATTCAGGCCGGGGTCAATTGCTCATTTAAATTCTTTTGGCTTTTCCATTTCTAATTAGTGTTTGCTTTATAGTCTCCCCGATGAGTGAAAGATGAGTGGAATTTTTTCTTTCGTGGCAATCCAATTGGTTCCATTGTGCCAGACAAGAACAATCGCTCCCAGAAAAGTAATTAAATCTAATGAAAGCAGCAATTTGAGGCCCAGCTGAGGATGAAAAGAAGCTGTCTTTGCTACTGAAGCCTTACCTCAGCAGAGTCTCGGTGCTTGCGTGTCAGCAGGGCCTTGCCGAGGTCTACGCAGTCATTGAAATTTGCTCCCCTGGCCTCGATCTCTGAGCGGATCCCCTGGTGGTACTTCTGCAGGAGCTCCACGGATGAGACATCCCTAATGCAGAGAAGGGAAGGATATAAAGTGATAACAGGCAATGTGTGAAGCTTATCTACCTCTGTTGGTAGGGACTGGAACTGCAACAGTAATGACCAGGACAGTGTCCTTTAGTCAAATAAATAGTGTAGTTGTACTTTATACATTCTACTGATAAGATAGACAGTTTCATAAAGAGATAATATACTAAAAAAGAGAAACCCGCCTTTGTAAATGGCAGAAATCAATGTTGATTTTAAGCTGAAATCTACTGAATGGATATCTGATTAAACGGTGAAGTCCTTGTCCGAGTTGTGCTCACCTGGGTTTTTCCTGCGTCTCTATCTGCTGGATGATGCTCTCCATCCAGGCCATCAGGTCTCGCACCGTTGTGAAAAAGCGGAACTTCTCCGCCGTGTCCACCAGTTGCGCCCTGCGGCCGTCGCAGGCGTCAAGCAGGCCCTTCCAGGCTTCCACCACCTCTCGTTCTTTAACCTGGATGGCGTCCGCTTGTCCCCCTGCATATTGGGCGTGAAGCCGTGAAGCCGTCTCCTGGAACTGTTGAACCTTGTGGAAGGAGATTCAAGAGTCAAATCATTAAAGTCATTTATAAAAACTAAAGTCTACCTCCATTCAACACTGTGTTTTGCATTGTGTTACTTTACATGGATGTTTGACCTCCACTGTGCAGAGGGATGTATGTGCCGACTTTGATACTAGAAGTCTGTTTCTACCTTGATCTGCTGAAGGGGGGTCCAATATGCAAACTACACAAGTGTTAATCAAAGATATTTAAAGGATAGAGCTGACGGAAACAGCAGAGCATAAACAGTGGGTACCGTTTGTTAACAAGAATTAAATGAAATAATATTAACTTTTTTAACTGTCATAATCTTTTACTGTTATAATCTCATTTATATTCTTTGTTTGTATTGTTATTGCTTTTACTGTTTCTGTTCTAACCATGTAAAGTGCTTTGAGTACCTTTTAAAGTGCTTTACAATTATTATTAATTTCTTTTAAATGTATGAATAGGTTTTTCATCCCAAAGCAATGGGATTAAGAGGCTGAAACAAATTTAAAACTCCCCCCACAGGACCACCCTTAATTGCTCCCTACCCTTTGAGAAAACTGTTCACAGTTGCCCAAATATTGCAGCACTCTCTCCTCCCTCTAGAAATGAATCATCAAAGTTTGCCTCTGGGCTGCTGCCTGCTGTGCTCCCGCAGTATAAAAGGGCGGATCCCCTGTGTTGTACCTGTTTGCCTAGAGCGGTGATGTCTCGCTCAAAGGCGGCGTGCATTCTGTGGAAGGACTCGGCTTTGCTGAAGTCCTCTCCCACATCATCGGGCAGCTCATTCTGCTTCTCGTGGATCTGAGCGACTAGCTCCTTCCCATCGTCAAAGTACCTTAAAGAAAAGGGTTCAATCTCTCAGTCTCTTAGGTCTGTGTGTATTATCATCACATGTACAATCCTACTTACTATAATCAATGTAAAGTTGTAATGTTCAAATTGACAGTGCTATTGTAACCAGATGTTTTCTGGTTTGATGCGTTTAGTTCCTCCAGATATCAACATCATTCACACGTTACGTTGCATAACTAGAATTACACGTGAGATCTTAACGGCATCAATCCAGATAACAGGCCTTCTTCTTACTTGAGCAGCTCGTAAGAAGTAGTGAGGAGCTGAGTGCGAGTGTCGATGAGCTCCAGCAGATCAGCCCAGCTCTCATTGATGGTGTCTTTCCACTCTGCCATGGTGGCTGCCTCGGCGTGGCCGGCTTCGATCAGCTCGTCTATCGTCTCGTTGACCAGGTCCACTCGCTCCTGGCCCATCATCCCCGTCTCCCGCGCAAACTCTCGGAACTTGTCCCTCAGAAGCTGAAGAGACAAGACAGATATTTTAAAAAAAATATATTAAAAAACAGGTAACAATAGTAACAATATTTGTATTTTTTGGGGGATTTGGGTGAACTTTCTTACCCGAATAAGGCATTTTGTGGCCAGTGTCTCTCTCTCCGTATGCACTCTAATGTAAACGTTTTGCTTATAAGGTATGATCGCATGTGTGTGCATGTTTTCTTTTGTGTGAATAATACCGTGACGTGGTCCAGGTCCTGGCCCATCTCCTGAGAGGAGGCCACCATGTCTCTCTCTGCGATCCAGTGTTCCAGGTAGTCCACCTCTCGGCTCAGCAGGAAGTGGTGGTAGGTGTGGTCCAGCTTCTTCCTGCGGTCCTCCGCCAGCTCCTTCAGCCCGGCGTACTGCTTATCCACCTGGCCCTGTCGCCTAATGATTTCCTCACTGCACACGAAGAAAAGTGAGAAGACGGAAGGAAATGAGACGCAGGGAGGATGGAGAAAATGAGAAAATAACAAAGAGATTGGATTTGGGTTTACTCTAGATGAGGTGTGCGATTAGGAAACAGGAATTATCCCACTTTACATGCTTGTCTCTCTTTATCGCCCAAAACCACAAATGACTGAGACAACATGAGTAAATGAAGTTCCTGAGATGTAATTCTTTTCTGTGTTTGCAGCAAATTATCCAATCACAAACCCATCAGGATGGTCTTCGGCAAACATTTTTTGGGCACGGTCAGCCAGCCTCTGAATGGCATCAGCATAGTCATCCACGGCTTGCTTGAGAATCATGTGGTGCTTCAGCACCAGCATGGCGCTCTGCTCGTCCTGGAGAGAAGGAAGAAGAGGTGGAGGAGGCGGAGTGGAGGAGGAGGCAGAAGGAAAACAGCAATTCAATCATGTGAGAAGGGGAGACTGCACATTAAAGCACAACAAAATACTCCAAATAAGGCCTCAATAGAGGGTGCTACTTATAAAAAGCATGTCAACTCAATTGAAGAAAACCCTAACCGTGTAATCATGTTAATGCATTCAGTGCCATTTGTTATTTGCACAACATGATTGTTTTTGATTGAGATAATAAGATGAGTTTTCAGACATCTGCGGCTTCATCCCTGATTAATCAGCCTGCTTCCTTGTCTGTTAACGCACAGCAGTTCCTCTGCTCCTCACCTTGGCCTTTTCATCCGCGATCATGTAAAGCTCCTGCTCCCCTATCCAGGCTTCGGCCTCATCCGCGTCGTTGTAGTAATGCTGGGCCGAGCTGGAGCTGCTCAGCCTCTCCCGGCGCTTGGCCATCTCGTCCTGCAGCCGGACCCACGCCTCCTCCAGCTCCTTCAGCTGGTCCGTGATTTGCTCTGCCTCCGGTCTGCCCTCTGCGCTGGCGGCCGCCGCCATCCTCCTTCCTCGCTCTAGCACCTCGTCAACACGAGGCTGGTGGCCCTCAATCTCCCTCTGCAACGTCTGATGTACAGAAAAGGAGACAGTGAGTGCAAAGCATCGGGGTAGAGATGATGATCAAATGATGGCGTTCAAGAGGCTCTGCCCATGCTTTTATAAATGACGTTCACACATCAATCATGCATACTTTTGTGATATTTAAAGAAACAAAAACAAACAAACTACGTATATTCGAGGATATGTTGTTTTCTTTGGTTTTACAGTATAAGTAGTCAATATTATCTTGACTGGCAGATGGAAACTTACTGCATAGTATACCACAATCGACAGAGGGATAATTAACAATAGTTTGACAATTGATCAATTATTTCAAAATAAAATAAAAAATGTATTTTTTTGACATAAATAATTGTAAACTGAATCTCTTTGGGCTTTAACTGCTGGTGGGACAAAATCAGCAATTTAAAGAAGTCACAGCAAGCTCTAGGACATTGAGAGGAGCATTTCTCACTGTTGATCAAGAAAATAATGTAATAAAGTAAGAATGTACAGGTAGCAATTTATAGCAAAGCAACCCACAACCCTTTTTCCTGCAGACAAACGCCTCACCTGGTTCTTCTTCAGCAGCATTTGCACAGTTTGAAGATTGTGGCCGTGCTCTTGTGACATTGCCAGGGGCGTCCTCTCCTCAATCCAGAGCTGAGAGAGAGAGGAGGAGGAAAAGAAGAGAGGATTATGACTGAATGAAAAGAGAAAAGGGTAGGGACTGCTTTATGTTGAGAAACAGATTTACAGATCTCAGATGCACACAGAATATCAAAAAAATGTTAAGACTGCCTTTCTTATACTGAATTTCATACATTTTTTCTCAAACAACAAAAATCCTTCTTTAAGCTGTTTCTAAGTGGATTTAAGCAGAGAAACCAATAAGGGATTAAAGCTTTTTACCCAGATTCACCTGCAGAGTCAATTTCATGGAGAGAGCTGATGGTCTTACTGTCTTGCATACTAAGTGCATATAGACTATAATTGAAAACTTCATTTCCAAATGAAGAAGTTATCATTTTTGCAGGAAAAAATACCCTCTGAAATTCAGGTTTCAATATTTCCCAAAAGCTTTTCTCTTGCTGTCGCTCAAAAGCCAACATTAATCCTGCTCCTTTCAAATGTAACATCCTTTATTCAAATTGTGTGATATGAATCATTTTGTGAGAGCACAGAGTTTCAACACTTCAATTTGGCTCTGAATTCGGACCCATGCTTACAAGCTCATCGGCCAGGTCTCTGTAGAACTGATGGACAGCCTTGATGGCCTCCAGCTTGCCCTTGCGCTGGGCCAGTGGTGTGAGGAGCTGCTGGAAGTCCCTCTGCAGGGCCTGCTGCTCGGCCTCAAGCTCCGCCTGGTCCTCCCTGCCTCCGCTGTGCTTCCTCAAGGCCTCCTGGAGCTCCTCCAGCTCCCGCGCCCGGTCACGTACCTGGTTCTCTGTCATCTGGCACGGGGAGATACGATTACAGACAAAAAGATGAACAGCCTTTCAAGAGCCTAATCAGGATGTGGTGGAGGGTAAACGAACCAAATGTTAGTTTGTCTTGCCGTTTGTGTGTGAAACTGAGCTCAGCCACTGTTTTCAGCTTATGATTTCATGAAACTTTTACCAATGCAGCACGGAGTGTGATATCATTTATAATGCTTTTTTCATGTTTAGACTTTACAGTAAACATAAATGCTGATCTGTCACAGGTTCTCACTCACTCAAAATGAATCCAAAGAAAGCACAAAAGCTAAAGATAAAACTTGAATGTATTCACTCCCATGGGGAGATTCAACTACACGTGATTTAAAAAGTGCATTGCAGACACAAACAGATCTGAAGTTTTTATTGTGCTGAAGAGACAGACCTGATGCTTCTTGAGCAGGATGTTGGCTTTAGTCAGGTCTTTGACGTCCTTGTCGCCACTCTGTAGCTGCTGCTGCAGCCCACCGAGCCACTTCTTCATATCAGTCAGGCTCTGGTCAAACAGCTCAGAGCGGTTGGCATCAAACAGCAGCCGGGCTTTCTCCTGGGTTGTGGACTCCAGCTTGTCCCACAGCTCGTGGACTTTGGCCAGACGCTCCTTCACGATGGGCTCAAACTCAGGCTTGGACTCCATGAGCTCTTGACCCTCCTGCATCCACAAAAACACGCACAGAGAAGATGATGATGTTTCCAAAATACTCCTCTGGGCAAAAAATATCATGGTGGGTGAAGAAAATGTTAATAAGATTAACAACCGCATCATTTGAGTCAACTAAGCAAATAATCTTTAGGTTTTACATTACAACTTCATCAATATTCAATGCTTCATCAATACAAGAACTTTTAAAGGAACAATGACATTTAGGAAATTATATTTTGTTATTCTGTGTCATATATATTTCAGGTATCTCTTATTATAAGCTTAGCATTACCAACCTCGTCTACTTTGTTCAGCCAGTCCTTGTTGGAGGCCAGCTCAGCCATGAAGGCCTGATGTTTCAGCCACTTGCTGTGGAGGTTCCTGGCCTCATCGTACGACATGTCCTGAGCTGTCAGCATCTTCTCGTTGATCCACACGGTCAGCTGAAGCACGGAGAGGAAGAGTGAGTATCAGAGATTAGTAGAAAGAAAAAAAAAAGATTAAAATCAACCACGTAGATTCAAGCACGCACGGTTCAAAAACTTGGGAAAGTCATGGAGACGTCAGCATTTCTAATTTGTGCAGAGGTGAATTTCTTTGAGCAGGATTTACTTCTTTATCTTTTCAAAACAGAGCGTTTACCAATTAGCCAAGTGGGACCCCGATCCCAAATAGGGAAGATATAAATTGAGTCAATTAAATGTCTCGACAAGTACCACTGTGTTATTATAAACAACACAGAGTGTGTGCTGCAAATTGACTACAATAATCAATACTGTATAGTGTCAAGTCTCAGTGAAGGAATAATTAAGTTAATAATGAATGTACTAATTGATGTTACCCAGTGATTACATGAACAGTAAACTAACGGTGAACTCACATCCTGAGTGTTTTGCAGGAAGTGCTGCAGGTCGCGGTTGTCTCTGAGCTTTTCTGACACCTCCTGGGCTCTTCTCTTATTTTTGTTTTGCCTGAAGATCGAACACAAGAAAAATACATAAAAAAATACAACTCATCTTCCTCCACGTTTTAATTCAACGTCTGTCTCTGTGACATAACAGGATACCATGCTGAACGAGGAGGGGTTGGTGAATCAGAGGGTGAATCATTATGAGCTCCTCCGCCACACAGAAAAATACCTGACACAGTAACCCAAAACATCATCGGTTTCTCTGCGACACCGTGAAGAATAGCTCTCACTTGAAGATCAATATCCATTATCGGGGCGCCCGTCTACCGAGCTGAACTGTGGGAGTTAATGGGACAAGCTCCCATGCTCTCTCTACTGCTTCTTGCTGTCAATAATGATAGAGTGATAAGAAAGCTGTTTCACTGCTGAGCTGGTTCAAACTATAAAGAAGAAGATTTCTATTTGTCTACATAAGATCAGGGCTTGCACGGTATTTATCAAACTGCTAAAAGTTAAATTTTGGACTATGTGATAGCAAAAGTCTCTAACGGTTGATTACGGTTCGATATTAGAGGACTGCAGTACAGAAACAAAGTAGGAGCCAGTTTCCAATATCATCGTCATTTTCTACTTGTTCAATAACGCTTTTGACAAAACCTAAATATAATCATATTGACCAAAAACCATAACGACTGACCTGTCTCGGATTGAGGCCATTTTGTCCTGCACTTTCCCAGAGTACAGGTTGTTGCCGTCCACTAGCCGCTGTCCGCCCTGCAGAGTGCCGTCAATCTTGTCCTCGTTGGCCTCCATGGTGCTCAAAAAGTCCTCCTGCTTCTTCAAAGCTTTCTCTGCCCCAGCCAAGTTGTCGGGCTTGTCTATGTGGGCCAAGGTGTACTCCTGCGAACAAAGCAAAAGAAAGAAAAGGACAAACACCCTTGAGACACTCAACCAGCGTTGTGGTAACTGACCATGCTGCATTCCTCCGTACCACATGTTTGAAATACCTGTAGCATCACTAGCCCCATCGTTAGAAAGCTAACACTAACTCTATGGACTGTTCCACTTAAAGACACAATTTGGACACAAGCCAAAATCCTAATTTACGTAGTCCTTTATCACTACCTGGTTGTTGAGGATGGCCTCTACAGCTTTGCCATCCCTCATGAACTGCTGGAAGCCCAGACCCTGGTCCAGGAAGTTCTTGCTGCTGTCCCACATCTTCTGCAGTTCTACCCAACCACGGTCCAGCCCCTTCAGCCTCTGCTCCAGCTGCTGGTACTGAAGATCATCCTCCTGACCCTGGGTGACCTGGGCACCGGTGTCCCTTACACAGTGATAGTCCTCCTCGTGGTTGTTTATGTCTTCACGCACTGCGTCATGAAGGCTGAGCTGCTCCTCGGCCTCCGGCAGAGAGGCGGGCATTTCCTCCGACGCCACAGCCTTCTGGGTCTTGAAAAGCCAGGACTGGAAGTCATCCATGTCTTGGAGGAAGGTCTGTAATTTGCTGACCTCGCCTAAAGAGTCCTCTCTGTCTTTCAGGGTCTTCTTTAACGTGTCCCAGGCCGCGTCCAGCTCCCCTCCGCGGGCCAAGATGTCATCCGCGTTCTCCGGGTGGTCCTTAGCCAGCTGATCGGCCTCATTCCTCAGGAAGGTAAGCTTGTTGTCGATGGCGGCCAAATCTCTCTCCATGCCAAACAGTTTCCTCTGGATGGTCATGACGGCTGCCAGGTCATTGCCCAAGTCCTGTGTGGACTCGATCACCCGTGTCTTGTCTTTGATCCAGAACTCTGTCTCGTCACACTCCAGCCCGTAGTTGTTCAGACTAACGGCAGAATCCACTTTCCTCTTCTTGTCCTCCACCATGGCCTTGAAGGCCTCCCACCTGAAAGAGAATTATGTATTGAATGTTTGCACCACTTTAATGTAATCTCAGTTTATGTTTCATATCTTGTTAAGAGCCAACACTTTTTATACTATTTTACAGGTTTGTTATTTCCTAATAATTTCCTAAATTGTAGTTTGACATGCCACAGGGGCAAACAGAAAACATGAAAAAATATGAATCATTTTAAATATTTATTTCAGATGTAACACTGACTGATTAATTAGAAATGTATTGTATTTTTGATACTTATAATGAATAGAAAATATATGTAAAGCACCTCTTATTCAGTCGCGTCTGACATTCTTTGACCTCTTTGGTGCGAGGGTGTCTGCTGTCCTCAAGCTGTTTCACGGCTTTATTGACGTCATCAACTCTCGACTGGACATTTGCCATATCTTGAGCTAGAATGCTCAACCTGAAAACAAGAAAAGTGCTCGTTAAAAACAAGCAACAGGTAGATGACACATTAACACAAGAACACAAAACCTAGAGAAAAATAAATGCTTTTTTTTTGGGCTTTTGGAACATTCTGGTGAAACTATTGTTTCCAGATTTTTATGAATTACAATATTAAATCTAGACAGGTGAAACAATATTTTTTTTGCATAGTGACATAATTTGTTCTGTGTACCTATTCTGTACTACTTCCAGATCCTCCAGCTTCTCAGGCACCTCTAAACCCACCAACCACGTCTCCTTCTGACCCATCCAGAGCTCACAGGCGTCCGTCTCACTGAAGATGGTGTACAGGGCCATAGCATCATCTAGCTTCTTCTGTCTCAGGTCAGCCAGCGACATGAGCTCCATGTACAGGTCCCTGATGTCCTTCAGACGTCTCTGGATATCAGGGGTGTTTTGTAGCTCCTCTGGCAGCGCATTGGCCTGTTTGGATAGAGCATCTATGGTGGCTCCGTTCTTCATTGCTTCATTCTTCAGGTGCTTGTGCTTTTTCATTAGCCGCTGGGTGGTGTACTCGTCGTGGCCCATGTCATTGCTGCTCATCTGCCTCTTGGCGTCCAGCAGCCAGGACTTGAGTTCATCAGCGTCTCCCTGAAACTGGAAGAACCTCTGGGTATCCCGGAGGTTCTGTTTCCGAAACGCAGCCAGCTCCTCCAGCTGCTGCCATTGCCTCCTTATGTCGTCCATGCTTTCTTGAACCTTCGGGGAGCCAAAGTGCTTGGCCTGGATCATCTTATCTCCTTCGGCCAAGACCTGGTCAAGGTTGGCGCGGCGGGCTCCGAGCTCGTCCTCGAAGGCGCTGTGTTTGCTCTGGAGCACCAGCACGCTCGTCAGGTCCTTGCCATAATCCAGGGAGGAGAAAATGTGCTCCTTCTCTCTAATCCAGCTCTCCAGCTCCACCTGCTCCCACAGGAAGTTCCAGAAGAGCCGAGACTGTTCCAAGCGGGCTCGTCGCTGGGCCGCCATGGCACAAAGGTCCTGGTAGCACAAGTCCAGGTGCTGCACCCTGTCCCGGATCACCTGAGGATCACATGGCTTGTAGCCTGGGGAGAAAATGAAGGGCAATGGAATCAGTACACATATATGTAATATTATATCTGCTGAGCTAATGTTATACTTTCATAGGTTTGTTATATAGAGTAGCTTGTTTAAAACATTCATATCAATTGCACTCAATAATATCATTCTTTTATTATAATATAATTGTATGTAAGTACTGTTTGCCAGCCTTTTCAAACTGAGGATGCAAATCACACATTTATGATTTGGGCATTGGTTGAAATGTTTTCTTGTTTTCTTACACAAGCAGGAAATATCCGATCACAGAATATGTAAACATGACTAGACAAAGCATCCTATGATAACTTTGAGCATTTTTGCACAGTTGTACTCAGTGCAACAGACATATTTGGTATGTGCTCAAAAACTTTTGAGGTTCAACATCAATCCATTTAGTGTCCTCATCTCCAACAAGACCAGGAGCAAGGTGCACGATGAGCCACTGCACTCACTTTCTCCGTTGGCGAACCTGAGAGCAGCAGCACTGGCGCCCTGCACTCTCTCCGCCTGCAGAGCGATGTCGTTCTCTAACAGAGCGTGTTTCTGTAACAAATCTTCAACTTCCAACAAGTGTTTCCCAAAGTCAGGGGACATAAGTCGAGCCTGAAGAAAAGGAGGAAAGAGCAATCTGATCAGTTTAGTGTCTAGAAAATAAATGTTGTAGTTGATGAATAATGCCTCCTGTGCTGTACCTTCATGTCATCCATCCAGCTGATGATGTACAGCATCTCCTGGAAGATCCTCTGCAGAGTCAGGTTCTTATCCAGACGTGCCCTGCGAGCCTTCAGCAGCTCCTGCAGGTAGTCCCACAGGCGCAGGATGTTATCTTTCCGCACGTCGATGCGTTTGGCGTCATGGTATCGCTCTGACTCCAGCTCCTTTGAGATGTCCACCAGGACCTGAACGCGTTCCTCATACGCAGCGATGTCCGTCTCAATGGCATTGTGCTTTTTCTTCGCTGCCTCCACTGCTGGCAGGTCGTAACCAAAGTTATCCTGAGGAGAGGGGAGCAGAGAGCCGTTCATTAGACAAGAAACCTTATGGTTTTATTGGTTAAAACTTTAAGCTGTAGGTAGATTTTGCAAATACCTTGATTGTACTTATCAAAGTAGAATCGGAGTATCTTTTACTAGTGTTTTTTACATTGCTGCTTCTACTAGAAGGTGCCTTGTGGACTTTTCTTCTAAACAAACAAAATGTTTGCATTCAGTGGTTCTCACCAACATTCCTGTATTTTTAAGCTCCATTAAATGTGCTGAATGTGTTTCCTTATTCACAAAACATTTGCTAAGCTGATAGTTAAGTATTTATAATCTGTCATTGTTTACTATAGCTCGCAGTCTTCTTCTACCCTTTTTACCGTCTGTGCTGGCGCATATCTTGGCTTATTGCCGCCACCTGTGTAACAGTGTGAAACCATTGGCGGGACGCATCATGAATGTGCATCCTCCTGCATGTCCACGAGACAAACAATAAACAAATCATTGAAAAACAGTTACATAGAGCTTCTAGACTCCACAGTAATGTCAATACTATTATAATTATTGTGATGATTTTAACTTTCATATTTTTGCTAAATATCTACTTTCTTCTAACTAACTTTTTGTGCTAAAAAAAAGCTATTTGTTACTTGCGAATGACACTTTTCAGTTGGTGTCATCTCTCAGTTTTTGTCTGGCAACCTGTCTCAGCTGTTTATCTCTCATCACCAATAATCAGGTTTTAACTTCATTTAACTGGGTAGCCTAATTGAGGTCAAGGTTTTGTCAAGAGACACCTCAGAACAAATGTCAGCTAACCGCATCATATAATATCCACGGTTTTGTGGTGGATGTGTTACCTGAGCCACTAGCCTCTGGTTCTCCTGGAGCCAGGTCTCCCTCATGGCAGCCTTCCTGTCGAATCTTCTCGCCATCTGTTCCAGCTTCTCCTGTCTGATCAGCTCGTCTCTCAGGACTCGCTCCCGCTCGTGCTCCGCCGTCTCCAGACGCTCCCAGGCCTGCACACAGATGATGAGATGATGTTTGTTGTTTTTTGCTAGTTGGCGTGGGGGGGGGGGGGTAATAGCAATGTGATTCCTTCCTATTTCCCAGTCAAGAAGTTATTTGCTTGATCCCATCCATAAAGACGTAAGAGGGCTATTTTTTGTTATTTTCTGACATTTTATAGACCAAATGATGAATCAAGAAAATATACTGAGGATGAATCGATAAGGGGAAAAAACATCCTTCTCACCCTGTTGATATCTGCCACCAGGGCTCCCTCTTTAGGCGTGTAGACCCTCTGTTTGTTGGCCCTCATACGACTCTGGATGGTGAAGAGCAACACCTCAAGGTTTCCCTTCTCTTGGAACCTGGAAAAAAAAAAACACAAGTCACACAAAAACATACAAATGAGCTGTACACGTTTTGTTTTTACATATGAGAAAGAGCTCTTTTCTTGTACAATCCCTGCATGATGCCCACACCGAGGTATAAACCACATCCACCTTAATTTGAAGACCCATGTGTTTGCTGATTGTCCCTTTTATTATTTTTTTCCAAAACATATTTATCAATGTATGTCTATTCTAATCTTCATTATTATAACTGTACAATTTATTAAAATAATAATAATAAAAATAATAAGTAGTTTATTTATAATTGTTTCACTTCTATCTAATGTCTAATTATATTAATATTTATTTACTTACTTATTTATTTATTTATGTACTTACTTATTTATTTACTTACTTATTAATTAATTCATTTATTTATTTATGTATTAGCAATGGGTCTAACATTTGTTTCCTGATTGTTTGTTGGTCTATAGATGACAAAATAAATGAAATGCATCTGTTTAAAAACAGTAAAAATTCAAAAGTCAAAATGCATTAGACGTATGGATTGTACTGAATATAAAATGAAAGAGATATTAAGTTTGGGGTTCTTTCTAGATTTCCCAGACAACTCTAATCCACTTGCTTAGAAGGCGTGTTGTTTTTTGTGGAGGCTTTCTGTGTTTTGTTTCGTTTGTTATTGAAACTCTGATATTTTATGAAATTCTCTTAATATTGTAACGGTGAGTTGTGTTTTCTTTTTTTTCTTGGAGATTAAAAAGCACTGGACAAAGAGAACAGAACAGAAACAGAACAGAGTGCAATGTAATGGGAAGGTGTCTCGGCTCGACTCACTTGGGCGGCTTCTCTACCGTGCGGTAGGTGTTGAAGGCCTGAAGCTGCTGCTGAACTCCAGTCAGCGAGTTGGCAAGTTTCCGGTTCTTCAGCACAACGATGGTCTGCTCGATCCACGTCAGCAGGTCTGACGACAGCGTCTCATACTTATCAATCGTCTTCTCTGTCTCGATGGCGTGATCCAGAACCTGATGAAGGAGGTCAGAGACAATCTGAGAAGCAGGAACAATTTTATGTCAACAAATTCGGCACAAGTGTGCGTCATCTTTCCATCTTACCTTTCCCACTCTCTTGCCCTCGACAGCGAGCTGCTTCATCTTCGAGAAGTAGTGGTAAAATGCCACGACGTACGTGATGATAGACTTCTCATCTGGGTTCTCTGTGAACACATCTACAAAACAAAACAGCAGACAAGTCAGTCACAGCCAAGCCAGACACCATATCTGGTCCTGAGGTCTTTTTTTCCACCAGGCTTAAAGCTCATAAACATTTAGTTCTACATGAAGGCACAGCCTCCGGCGGTCACTCGCCTTCGGGGTCCAACAGCTTGGTCACGCCAAGCTGCTGCTCAGCTACGTTGAAGGCGCTCTGGAGGTTGTGGGACGGGTTTGACCTCTTCAGATTGTTATATTCCACCAGATCTGGCCTGAGAGAGAAAGATGGAGCAAGAGAGCAAAAGAGGAAAATGAGACAGTGAAAGAGATGAAGCAGAATGAGGAGGAGAGACACTGAACAGACGGGTTTCATGAGTGTTTACATGGCAGAGATGGCGAGAGTGGATTTGGCCATTCATCTCTTCTTACCGGTGTTTGTGTATGAGAGCGTTGAAGGCCATGCCGTCTTTCCAGCTGGTGGTGAAATTTCTGATGTTGACGTTGGGATATCTGCAAAACAACAGGCAGGGGACGTCATTGACTGAACATAAGGGACATTGTTGGGAAGAGCTCCTGTCTTAAATCAATGTCTGGGATCTGTTCTGCTTCTCAACATGTGCAACAAGCATATTTCTGCAGCTTCAGGCCCGAGCAGACTCAGACATTTAGTGGAATTCTGTGATTTGTTCAAAAGATCACAAATTTTAGAGACATGGATTCTGAAATATGACAGATTCAAACTGGATGCTAGCAAATCACGACGACCTAGAACCTTAAAGAATAGTTTAACATCTGATTTGATTTCTTGCAGAGACTTAGATGTGAAGATCAATATCACTCTCATGTCTGTATGGTAAATAAGAATCTACAGCCAGCAGCCGGTTAGCTCAGGTCAGCATAAAGTCTAGAAAGAGGGGGAAACAGCTAGCATGGCTCTGTCCGGGGTAAGAAAATCAGCCCAACAGCACAGAACCTCTCGTAAAACATTTGTTTGTGACACAATGACACAAATATTATGCTAATTAGTGAGTTTTAGAAGTGCTGGGAGGTGGATTGTGTTACCTTTGGACAGTCTGTTTGCCCTTGTTTCTAGTCTTTATGCTAAGCTAAGCTAACTGTCTCCTAGCAGTACCTTCACATTGATTTTCTCAGCTAACTATTTGTAAAAAAAAAAAGAAGCCAGTAATTATATTTCCAAAAACACCAAACTATTTCTTGAAGAAAATCTTAATTTATGGCTTTATTGTTATTTAAATATATTCTGTAATGTAATATGTTCAAAAAAGGAAAAACACCTAAACTGTGGTTTTGGGTGGACCTATTTGATTACATTGAATCTTCATATCAAGACTGCTTCACAATTTGTATAAATTAAACAGTATAATAAAATGTGATTGTAACTGCTTATTGCAAACCCATTTTCAACCATTTAAAACGTGAATAATGAGAATAGTAGCCAATGTTATTCATGAAACACTTTTCAAGATGCTCAGATATTCTTTACATAACAAATGAATCATTTAAACAAGAACCCAGAACACTAACACAAATACAAGCGCAGAGTGGTGCAGGTATAGACACACACACACAATAATATCTTTAACTAAAAGTTGTACAGCTGTGCACAGGAGTTGATTCTCATACTAATCCCCAAAGGTTATTCACAACAGCTAAAGTTCACAAATTCCACTTACCCTGCCGTTTTCATCTGACACCACAGAAGAAGAGCGTCCTTGGCTGAGCGCGTCTCCTTCTGGTCCGCCTGGCCCGTTTCCACAACAATGTCCTGGATCTGATTAAAAACAACAAGCACAGCTGGATGATGAATAATGAAACGTAACTAATGACTGTGAGGTTTGCAATCAAACAAGAACAATTCACCGCAGAGAACAACAACTTAACTGATAGTAACATGTCACTAATAGGATGCAGCAGCAGGGAAACATTTAGGCAAAGTGGCACAAATACCCCTTTGAAATACATGATTTATTGTAGCTTACAGGTTTTCATTGGTGCACAACAAAAGTTATCAAGTGATAAATCATCAGTTATTAGCCGACTGGATTCTCACAAATGTAAACCAAAGATCCAGTTGATAGAAGGAGGGGCGGTAATTATTGAAGTTCTTATTTTCCCACACAGTGGACCAGTAATTAGAGCAGTGATGTGATCTGAGAGACGGGCCCTGAGAGAGATCTAAATTTAGCCAGCTTTGATTCTCCTTGCTTTATAAAGAATGAAAAGATACAGACAAGACCAAGTCAACTCCTGTCTTTTTCTTTTCTTTTTGTTTGAAAAGGCTGAATAATGCAGGAGGCCATATTGTTTGAACTAACGTGTCTAAAAATAACGGAGCTGCTGTCAAATTAAAAATAAATATATGCTCCCTCCAGGAAGATAAAAATCAGTCAAACAGACATGTTCTGATGTTCTGGATGTGCTTCTTACAGCAGATAATAATGGCTCTGGAACCTGAAGCGATCTCATTCGAGGAAAAATAAAGTCAAAAACATCCCAAGGCTGCCATTTGAAACTGTTTCTGTGCTGCATGCATACACACCCAAATCAGACCAATCAGTTAGTCGGAGACTGGTCTATCAAACACAGCAGGTTGTACACTAAATGTAAATAAAAACAGGTTTTAATGTACTCTGATTTAATGTATATAAGTGTCTATAGTAGCCAAATCATAATAACTATATTACAGTCATATTTGAACTGTGGTCAGGCTGCACAGCTCCTCGTGTTATATGAGGATTGTGATACACATGTTAAATAACATTGTGAGTTTTCAGACCAGAAATGCAATGGTGACATATTTTTATGTGATACATAATATAAATGTAAATAAATAAATATATACAGTATATAAATATATATATATATATATATGCACAATTATATATAAATATAATAGGTTTTCGGTTCGGCACGCATGCAATAATACTATTGCATTTGGAAAATAATATACAGCTTAAATTGTGGCACTGCGCTCAACAAGGCAGCGTCACAGGCAGCGTGCTGTGCGACACTCCCACCACGGAAGAAAAACATTGTCGGTGATGCACGTTAGCGCTGAACTAGCTCACCAGGAACAAACCAAGAGTAGCACACGCGCTACAAACTCTCCCCGCAGCGTAAAGCAATCTCCACGGCGAGGGGAACATTTACAGCCGCGGACATGAGACCCTACTCTAGTGGAACACACAGCTGCTTTACGAACATGCGTAATGTTATTGAGCCCCGTGGCACTACTCCGCCACGAGCCCATTTCAGCCGGACCCTCATTCCTGTTATGTACAGGAAAACAAAAGCCCAAATAGAGCATCAAATGTCCGACAACAACAGCCGGCAGGACGTCACGGGCTACACAAAGCTACCTGACAGCACATTACCTCCCCAATGAACGGGAGATGAAGAGCCATTCTTCAGACACGCCCCCTTGAGAGGATTTGGCCCAAGAGATGACAGAAGTAGTGGAAGGTGGAGCGAGCTAATGCAGCTATATACCTGTGACTACTGACACTGCCATGAATATAGTGAATGCCGTTGGAGCTGCTGGTTCAGGGCCACAGATAGGACGCTTTGCTGTGCATGTCATTAATCCAGCTTCTCAGAGAGCAGTGCAGCAGATCTCTGGCCTCACAGCAAAAGATCAGAGAGAGTGTGAACCTTCTTCTACAGAAGCACAACTGCAGCCCCATGTGTTGAAGACAGAACAGGAGTTGCTGCAGCTTCCGTTACACAAATGAATCCATCGCTGTTCAAAGTCAAAAATAACGTACTTTCATGATTTTAGTTTTAATAAGTAAAGATATTTTAAAATCAAGGAAATTTCTAACGTACCGGACCGTGGCGTCACTGTGTCGTATGGAACCGAACCGTGAATTTTGTGCTTTATATAATAATTATAATCATTCATTTGTTGTACTGTGCGTTTTTTTAAATAGCTTCTTTTTTTTATAGGTCAATAAAAAAGTGAACTAAGTTGACTTTGATTTTTACCCACAGCTTAAAAAAATCAATGCAGTCAATGCACTGCATATTTAGTGGTTAAAAAGCACCCAGCATTACACAAATCCGATTTTAACATCTTCAGGCTTTGAGCGATTCAAATCAGCAAAAATAAGGAAATAAAGCTAAATGTGAGCGTTCAGCGTAGCCGAGGTCTTAGTTTACCTGGAAGCGAAGGATGATGGTCCAGATGAGGCCAAGGATGAGGCGATGGTTTCCGTCGACGATGTCGTGGGAGCCCATGTTCTCCAGGTGGACCCTCTGCTCTTTGAGGAACTGCAGGGCCTTGTCCACATTCTCCAAACAGTGGATACGCATTCGGCCTTTAGTGGGTTTTGGCTAAAGACAGAAATGAGAAAGAAAACATAGAAAGGGAAAATTGTGAAGGCAAGAGTGACCACAAGAGAGAGAGAGATAGTACAAAGAGTAAAAAAGGAGAGAAAAATATAAAAATGTAAGACTTGGCCAGGGAGCTTCTTACAAGGCGTTCGCCGGACAGCACCTCCAGCAGTTTAATGAGCATGCGTCCGTCCCGCAAGTCCAGGTAGAGGTCAGAGATGCGACAGCCGACCCGGGACAAGATCGAGTTGACCCATTTAGTGAAGGTCTTCTTCTGAACCGCCTCGCGCTCATCTGGAAGGGAGCAGAAAGTTAAAGAAAGAAAAACATGAGCTCCATGAATAATGAAATAACTTCACATCTACGGAACAGCACCACTGGAGCTGGTTGGGGATTAACTGTCATGCTCAAGGGCTCTTCAGATAGATGGTGGACCCTGGGTTGAATTTACTCGGGAAACAGAGCAATCTTACTGGTTAAATTAATCCCCAGTGCAGAGTTAAGCTGTGCACTCTTGCCACTTACTGAGAAAATACAGCCCGGATATAAGCAGTCATGTATATTAGCCGGTGAGTTTTGGCAGAAGCAAAAACATAAAATCTAAAATTATTCTGTGGCTCCACTCATTTAATCCAACTCACCCAATAATAGTATTTCTAACTTCACATCAGGTCTGCCTCCAAGAAATATGGTTTACATAACCATGGAATGATTATGAGACAAGGGGCCTTTAAAAGGCCCCCAACCACTCAACCACAGGAGCAAGAGCCCCAGGGGGACATCTAGAAGACAAGCCAGAACTCCGAGATGCTGCTGCTGGTTCAGAAACTCCACCGTAGCATAAGTATTTAGTTCACGCTGGAGATGATAAGAAGCTGTCTGACACAGCAGATCCACGCTGACACTTCTCTACACAGATAGCATACAAAACACTACAGAACCTTATAGAAAGCATGAATGGAAACCATCAAAGGAAACATGATGGACAAGAGATATTTTCTTAAAGCAGAGCTACTCTGCTGTTCTTACTTCACTGTAACGGTAGCCTCAGCATGCTGTGCTGCTGTAATACTGTATGACAATATTAAGAGACTCGGACCAGGATCATCCCTAGTTTCTACTGAGCTCAAACAAAAAATATTAACAGTCACTTGGGGCTGAACGATTTAGCCAAAATCCATATCATGGAATAGCATGTTTTCTTGTAGTTCAATAATAAATAGTCCAGAAGAAGTAAACACTCTGTAAAGTCTATTTTTGTAAACTCCTGTTTGAATTAAATACTTGTTTTTTCTGAGTCAATATGCGCTTGTTGTTATCAATTTAGACGATCTAATAGTGTATCAAAATATCAATATATGTATAATTGTATCACCATATATGAGTCCATTGACAGAAGATAAATTATCACACTGAATTATTGCTCAGCCTTACTTGGGGCCCTAGGCCAGTAATTTAATTTATGTCCATAACTTAAACTTCAGTTAAAGTCAATTAAATGCTCAACCTCGTCACAGTGCTGCCCTGCTGCCAAAGACAGCCTGACTGTTAAACGTGTGTCAAATGAATACATGTTAAAAATGAGGCCACTTTAAAAGATCTGGTCACGTTATCCCTGCGGTGTATTTGCAAATCGCATCACTTCTATTGGGATCAGAGCTATATATATATCAATCAATAAACTACTGTGTTAAAATGCAGAAAGTTTTGACCTTTAGCTCGATTATCGGAGGCGGTGGAGCCCTCATTTGTATGAGATGCTTGACGGGATTGCTAATATGACCTCAGTATTTTTGTAGGCAGACCTGCTGCAAATGTGATACATGTCTTCACGAAACAGACACTCCCCGAGGAGAAGCTATACTTGAACGATCCAAGTCTCCTCATCCTCCTCGCAGAGTAGACAGAGAAGTGGTGCTGCATAATAACATCACATGCATAAAAAGTAAACAAGGTCTCTGCATAGTTAAGCATATAGGTGTACAGTATGCAGAAATTCCTCCACTGAAATCTCAGGAATGACAGCGCGGAGACAAGCGGAAAGTACGAGCGTCAGGCCTTCTTTGGGAGGATGAGCGCTGCCCACATGGTGACACATCTCACCGGGCTCACACTTAGAAATGATATCTCGGTGCTCGGCAGATGTGCCTCCTACTCAGCAGCAAAAAATAAAACCAATTTTGACGGGACCGCATGTCAGCATGACCCAATGTACTATACACTGTTTATTTTGTCTGTGGACACACTTCATGTGAATGGGAACAGGGGTGGTGTGAGTGGGTGTGTGCTTGTGACTGGGGGGTTGTATCTGCATTAAGTAAGCATATAAAAAGCCCTGCATGATTAAAACCTTCTCTTATTAAAAGTTAAGCACAGGATATAAAGCAGCATGACATTTTACAACTTGTCAGTGCATCTCTGTGAACAAACGTTTTTGCATTGATCATAACAAACAGGACTTTGATATCACATTTGGCTCTCGCAACTTTGGCTTTTTTAACAACCTGCTGACATCCTGTAGGGCCAAATAATTGATTCTAGGCAATAATCATTCGATGAGGCCGAGTAGTTTTTCATTGAAGCTCTCAGTAGAGTGTTCTAGAATAATCTGGAGCAAGGAGGACCGAAGGACAGAGCCGACTACAGGATCGCACCCACGGCTCCAGCTCCAGCCCCTCACACTCACATATACACACAGACTCACTGCTCCTTAACGTTTACCAGGTCAACCGCTGGTGATGAGACATTTTACCCTCAGTCGTCCCATCTTGCAACACGTGACTTCCCCTTGGTCTGCCTGCTACAGTTTGCCCTCTTTATTCCTCAACCGAAATATGTTTTCAAACTACGCGAGTGCAAAGGATTGGATCCTTAATGACTTGTGTAATAAATGATTCAGGCCCCGGGGCTGTGGAGAACAAGCAAGGAACAGGCTAAAGAGGAGGAACAGAAGAGGAAGAGGGAGAAGGAGTTAAAGATCTGGGATTAAAGGTTAAGAAGGAGACAATAAAGCAGAGTAAGGAAGGAGGAGAGAGTGGAGCAAAGGTGAAGAAGAATAGGAAGAGAAAAAGAGGCCAGGCAATCGAGGGCAAAATGGATCAGCAAGAAAGTAATGGAGAGTGAGAGTGATGCAGGCTTTCAAGTTTAATCTGCAGAGACCCAACTAGGAAAATAGAACAAGATATATTACCTACAGTATCTAAAAATGACACAGTAAGCACCAAAAAAAGCTCCAGCTCCATTCTGAGCCTCATCAAAGAGAAGAAACCAGGGGTTACTGTATGTAAAACACATGGTGCAGCAGAGTACAGTAAATAAATCATGCTTTTTCTGCTCCCCTCAGCAGAACAACAGCACGCACCGCTCCGCTACGTCGTCACGGATCACCACGCCATGAAAAAGTAATGTCAATTAAAAACATGCAAATAACTCAAAGCTCCAACTGGAGTGTCAGTGTTGATTTAGCACAAAGTGTCACATCATAATCCGTCAGCAAGGACAACAAAAATCAATAAAGAAAATCAACAAGACACAGCTCTGTGTGCCGGATGCTTTCTGAACCATTTAGGGTGCTGCCTCAAGAGGACTTTACAGTGCAGACAGTGGAGGACAATTAAAGTACATCCCCGAAACGTGCACACGGTTCTCCCGTATCGTCTCACATCAAAAGACCTTGAGAGGAGCCAGAGTGCACATTGATGCTCCTGGCCTTTTAGGAGACAACAGAGGGGGAGGAGAGGAAGGAGGATTGCTGCTTGCATGCATCCCGCCGAGCCGTCTCCAGATGAGTAGTTCAACAAGCTCAATGTGACAACAGCTCTGTGTGTTCACTCGCTGCTGAACAAAGCCCTCAGCGTTAAGTCTGGAGACGAAGTTCTGTTTAACCTCAATGCTCCAGTTGCAGTAAAATCGAAATAATATCCAAACTATGAATCTTGCAAGATTCAATATCGCACAGGGTTTTATAATATATGATGGTACGTTCCCATTACGAGATAACATTTCTGAGCTTATTGGAGTGATTGAGTGATAACACACACATTGGCGTACTCTAAGTATTTCGTCTTTAATTAAAATGAAATGTAAATGAAAGCTAAAATGTTTTTTAACTTGGTTTTTTACTTCAGTCATGGCAGCGCTGAAACGGAGGCCTGGCTTTTTTACACATTGCACATTTAGGTGCAGTCCATAAATATGAAAGGAGCAGGAATATTTCATACGAAGGTCCGACCACAACTTTACTGTATGTTTAATGTTTGGTTGTACTTTGTGGTGCTGCAACAGAAGCTACCATTGTCATACAGCCTTTTCACATGAATTAAATATTTTTGAGCAAGTGCAGCAGTCACACACCGTTTCCAAGCTTCCTGACACTGTTTTGCGGCTTTCCTTTTCCAACTTCTTCTCTTTGCATATCAATGCCAGCTTTACTAAACATTCCTCTGTTTCACATGATTTTACTGTGTAATCCCTCATCCACTCTCTGACTCCAGTAAAAAGCCCAATGACTTATTCATGCTGATGGATTTTCCCTGTATGCTGCCTGATCCGTCTTTTCCCACAGTCAGCTCATACTGGATGTGGCCCTGTGGGTCCCGCAGCACCCTGTTACAGGCTACCTGAGTTATGGAACTGCCAGAGCTACCTGTCTTGCAGCCATGACACAATGTCTTTATTAATAAGCCTGTCCCAAAGTTTAGATGAAACATCTCCTCTGTCGGCTTTGTTCACACGCTTCCTCGAGATGAATTGCCTGAGCTTTTGCGAAATGGACTCACATTCTGCAGCAGCTAAACATCAGATTAACGCACATTAGAGGCCGTCAAGGTTGCTTGATGACGTAAAGAGCAAAACATACCAGTATTTTGACTCGTAAGGATTAAAGTTGAGCTTCATGAAAGCCTGTTTACAGGTGTTGGAGAGTGCTTTTGCAAATGTGAAAAAAAAGTTGTAAAAAGCCTTTTGTATCTTCAGAGGGAGCTGCGTGAAATTTGAAAAAACTGCCTTAAATTATGTCACTTGAGTCAGTTGGGGTTGAAGACTACAAGTTTGAAAATTGTGTAGTCAGAAGGAAGTGAGTTTAGCAGGCCACGTAAGCCTGCTCCTCACCTCTGCTTGAGAATAGCGGCATCAAGGCTACATTAGCTGCTACTAGCATAACACACCCAACCCTCCGACCTAACTCTTAACAGTGGAGTTAAATTATGGGTAATGAAGAAAGAGGACGAATGCGTGGCATAAAAAAAAGACGATATCTCTGCTTCTGCGGCATCGACATTTTGATAAATGTCCAT